GATCAAGGTAATTATAGGTGTATTGTTTATAATCAAAAGTTTGAAAGTCAGGGATTAGAGAAAGGACTGAGATTTGGGGAAAAAGTGACACTAGTGGTGATAGATGGAAGTACAAGCAGAGACAACTTTTCTTTGGGGAAAATTAGGAGTAACTAAGGACATTAACACTTCAGTTTATTAGAACAACAGGGAGAAGCAATTTAACTCTTTCAACATTGATAGTTATTAAAGCCATAAATATATCGCATTTGGTTATAAGGGAACCAATACAGCACCAATTTTAGGGGAAAGAATACTTATTAGGGTTAGGATGGGGACGTTTCTCCCATATGGAGAGATAATTATGGAGAATAAGTATTGTTATCAGGACCAGATGTAGAAGAGGTGTCCCCTAGTCAAAGGAGGGATAGTTTGTACAACGATATGAAGTGGAAGAGGTTAGGAGTGACTGTTCACTTATTTGGCGTAATGTTACAGAGAAAGGTCAGGGAGAATATATGTATACTTATCTAGGGCAAGCATTAGAAGTTGTTCCGGTTAAGAATTATTGGTTAAAAGGCTATGTAATTCATAAAGTGATGCTTATGATGGAAGATTTCAAATCTGTTGAAGTTTCACAGTCACCAAGGGAGTTCAGGAAGAATATGTTACAGTAGTCATTCCAACAGTAGATAATACACAGAGGATAATGGGAACTTTTGCACTAGAAGTAATTAGGGTTGATACAGCAATTAAGTCAACTACTTTAATGGTAACTTTGGAAGGGATTAATGATACGATGGCAATAGCAAATGTAGTAAGTATGACACCGACAACAACTTTTCTGAAATTAAAGGGGGTCGCAAGAAGGACTCAGGGTTTATGTTACGGATGGAGAGTGCTGTCAATGATAGTACGAATAGGGTTAAAATAGGAGAAGAGAGAGTAGTAGAGAGAATATAGATTCATCATGGAGGACAGGATGAGGTCTTTGATTTTAATGACAGACAGGGAGAGGTATCTGATCAGTACCGCTCGTTCTTCTGTTGTGGAAATTAGAGATAGATTAACTCATTCTGTAAGATCAGTGAGGAATCTTGAGGGTCCATGTCTGTTGAGAATTCCAGCACCAAACATGTTAGACGGTCGCGCGGCCTCTATCAGGTATGGGTCAGTCTTATGCTTTGTCATGACTGTGGTATCAGCAACAGTCATTGACAGATAAAATAATGTCGTTGTCAGAACAGTGGTTTAAGCCTAGGTTTAAGTGTTCTTGGTTAAATGAATTACCCTATGGGAATTGTTAAATTGGAAAGGAAAATCAGGTAACAACGGAAGCCTGAAGTATTCAGGTGAAACATTGAGGGCTAAAAGTTGTTTTTGTTCTAATAAAACATATGAGGTAAAGGGTATGTTTATGGGAATATCAGATTGTGATGATTATAGGATGACTTTGGATAAGCATGACATTAAGGGTAGTAATGAGAAATATAAGGTTACTTTTTAATATACCAGGTAGTAAGAAGAGCAGGACTTTGATGGTTAAACGATTAGCTTTTGACTGACAATGTGACTATTGGGAATTTTAGAGATATTTGGTGGGTTTGTGATGATAAAACGTATATATTCTTACCCTATGGATGGATAGGATGTTGTTAATGTCAACGTTGAAGCTTCCATATGAGGCTTTTACTATTAAAAGAGGGGTAGCACCGAACACAGATCAATCTGAAACTAGAGTTCAAAATAGGATGAAAAGGGACATGTCATAGGTTTCAAGCCTATATTGAAGGATAAGTCTAAGGGAGAAGGGGGGACTTTATTCATGGTATGGTGTAACATTTGGGAAGATCATATTGATAAATATTAGTTATACTTTGAGTCCAGATAGTTCAGATAATATCACTGGGGTTATAGATGCATTGAAGGAAATAAGGGATGCATTTGGAAGACTTGGTTGCAAGATCAGTTAGGCCAGTAGGGGCAGTGATGGGTCAGATTTTAGTTTCAGCTTTGATAGCACTGTGAATTTGTTACTTACCTTTGAGAAAGCTATGATATTAAGATAGGTTGGAGAGTGATGCCTGGAGACAACACTCAGATGCCGGTGTTGACTGTTCCTGATCTGGATAAAGATGGACAAGTGGAACTGATGGATAAATATCATTTTGATTATTTGATGATTTTTCAAAAAAAAAAAATCAATATTGGGGTGATGTTGGTACGATTTATGAATCAAAGGGGGGAATAGGTTTATGTGATTCATGCATAATTTATATATCAGTTTTATATTCTTAGTTGATATTCATGTTTAATTTGAAAGTGTTTGTTTTGCAAAAAGATACTGTTTGGTCGTTTCTTTTCTTTTCTTCCAGAAGCATTTGGGAGAACATGTGGAGATTGAAATACTCAAACAAGGAACATGGGAAGGGACAATATGACTGGAGGAGATGAAACAAGGAGGGTGTGGCCAATTCCATCATCAACAATCCATTGGAAGAGGAGACTACAGGGAGATGAAGTGTAGTGGACTACATTCCAGTGTTTGCAATGAAATATAGACATGTGTAATACATAATTGTGTCATATTCTTAGGGATTAATTTTTGTAGAATGATGTTTGATGTTATTGAATACATGTGAGGAACTTAGATGTTTTTGTTTATTTCGTGAATGTTTAGGGACAGAAGGTCTAGGCAGGGAGAGTTCCACTTTACGGTCCAATGGGTTGACCAGCCTTAGAGTGGATGTTTTTGGATAGGATTTTGTTTGCAGGGGCTTACATGTGTATTTAATTGCATCATAGTTTCAAATGCATTTACATGGTTAATGAGTTTATCTGGAGTACCGACGGTGGTTGCCTGGGGCAGAGGGACCGTGAGAGAATTTTACTGTCTTGATTGATGGATGGATATCTGAAAAGATGGCTGCCGGACAGTTTTTCGCTCTTACACTCCATAGAGATTTGTTCATATTTCATAGTAATGTATTCACACTTCATAAACAGTTATTTCATAAGAAAGGTATTTACACTCTAGAGAAGAATGTTTTTGGTTTAATGTTAAAGATACTCAATAAGATAAATGGTTACTAGTCATAATCCTATTGTTGTCGAGACTTTTTAGTTTTGTCTCGAAGGGGGGAATATGTAGTGTATTAAGATTATGTCTTTGTTAAATGTTTTTCATGAAGAAATGGAATGTTGGTTATGTTAGTATCAAAAGACAATGTTCACATACAATAGACAGGAAGTGTGTTGTAAACTGGTGATTGGCCAGAAGAGGGAGCCCATCTTGTTGCATTGTTTATAAATAGGGGTACACGAAGAAGAGCGGGCAGAGCAGCCATTAGAATTGGAGGACACTGCTCTCCAGACCTCGCGAGTCTGTCACTCATGCTAAAGCTTGTGGTCTGAATAAACCTTATGATCAACGTTCCGTATGAGCAGACTCCTTTTGTTCATCAGCAATAATTGCCACCACTCACTCGATAAGACACTAGCACTCACTGTTGCCCCTATTGGCCGGATTCCACGTCATCTCCTGATGTCCTCAGACATGGATGGACGTCTAAAACTGACTTGTATCACGGGTCACCTGGCTGCAAAATGAGCAAAGATGCTCCTCTGGGTGGAACTGTGGATTTGGAAACTAAAAGTGCTCCTGAGTAGAATGGACACCCCTTTTACTGCGACACAACATAGGCTACACAAACATTGTGTAAGGTGCAATATGTATGTCCAATATGAAACAAATATTGGATTTAAGCTAATTTGCCACAATAACCAATTTTCTATTATTTTCGGCCTAATTATTCATTTACAACGTATACAGGAAGGGAATCTTATTATGAAGGAGTCCTAAAATCCGTGACCCGGAAGTACTTCGTAATTCTTGCCTGCTTCACAGCGGTAAGTGTTGACCGAAATAGTGAACAGCGAGCAACGACGACGTATCCTACGTCAAACATAGAAACCGAAACATTTAATACGACGACTGGTGAGTTTATTCTACAATTTCGACTATCATACGATAATACAGTGGCGTGACACGTCTCGCGCACGATAAACTGCATGCATTCGATCAGTGAGTTGGCTAATGATACCAGGTTCAAAAGCCACACCAGTATAAACAGCTGGTACCTGGACGTGGGGGATCCAGGATTATACCGAGATATATGGCATTGTTACACCTGTCATGTTAACCGGTGATGTTGAATATCAATAACATATGTATCTAAGTATGATTATAATGGTAGAAGGTAATTTTTATTCAGGCATAGATCATTGTCAGTGTGTCAACTGCGCAACCTTGGCTACTGATGTCGACTGTGAGGAAGGTTTTTAGAGATGATTAGCTTGCTTAGCCTATGGCAATGTTCAGCTTGTAAAAAAAAACTTGGCTACCTTTCTTATGGGCCATAAGTCTAGGCTACTCATGCATCTTCATGATTATTATAATTTGTTTTTCATTTGCAGGGTTTCAAATGGAAATGTCTATTAAATATCTGAATGTGTCGTCATTTGAAACGAGGCAGTGCCAAAGACTGGGGGGCATTCTGTAATCAGAGAAAGTGCTCCTCTGAACTGTCTGTCTACAGCAGCCAACAGAGGATTTACCAGTGTGTTTTTGATTAGCCTTGCTGAGAGAAGGGGAGGTGGAAGAAAAAGCAGGGGAAACCTTTCTCGGCTCTAAAGTTTACCGTCGCAGAGATCGTTGTCTGATTTTTTTCTCATTGGAACTTGCTTCTAAAAAACCAGTGACCGTGGTGGCATCCCAGTGACAGTGTTGGCATCCCAGGGACTGAGTCACATGACAGAGCGAGCGCACTTGTGCAGTCACGACTGGTCTCGAGCCACTGAGCTGCCAAAATGCAAATGTCACTATAATTTAGAATAACTGACAGCCAAGTGTTTTTTACTTTTGCCTTTTTGTTTTATATGAAAGGAACCTAAATGAACTGGAAACAAAGCCAATTGGACTTCTAAAAGCCATAAACAACTTCTAAAAGCCAGGCTTTTGTGACAGCCATCATTCTTTATCAGGATAACGTTTTCAGTCCTACCAGGCAAACCTGTGGGACCAACTGCTGCTGCCATGTTATTCCGATATGCTTGATATTGTGTCTCAAGCTAAGCTTTGTACGTACTAGGAGAAGGCCACTAAGTGCTGGAACTCACTTCCATAGCAAAAAGATAGGTGTGAAAATGCTGTGTTGTTTTGGTCAGATAAGCCATAGCCGTCTTAAAGTGGCAGCTGAACGTTTTGAGGAAGCTCATACTTGTGTGTCAACTACTGGTAAGTCGTTGTGTCTATCTTAACTAATCTCAAATGCACTTTCCTGTCAGCTCATATGAAATTCTGTAGACTCCAGTAAGACTGCCTACTGTAGTTGGGCAATTCCACGATAATGGAATTGCGCAGAGACTAAGATTTTTCACTTAAAATGTATGCCAAACCAAAACCATTGATTTCAAAGTTTAACAAACCATACAATTCTATGCATAAGGACAACTTTTATCAATTTACACTGAACATTTTACAAAAACACATTTACTGGAAGAGCTGTGCAGATGCAAAGTTTGGTGACAGAATTCCGAGAAAATCTTCCTCTGTTTTTTATGTGACCACGTTTTCCAAAAACTCTCTTAAATATTTCTCCAAATTAAGATTCAAAGATGTATGCAAAAATAATGGGGTGTCAGCTATGACATGACACCTTGAGTTTGAAAACATCTCTTTTGGTTATTGAACTACATTAAGTGAAGTGAATTTACACCCGGTAACGGAATTTCATCATGGGTCCCTGATCTGGACTACACAGAAATTTATAATTATGGGTATGAATATCATTCTCTTCATGGGGATGTATCCTGAATAGGTACACAAAGGTAGAAATATGCAATATCCTCCTTTGCATATTTGACTATTATTCTACCACTGGCTATTATTTTAATGAGCTCCGCCACCAAACAAGACCAAATTTGGTTGGTTTGGACCAGACTAAATCTGAACCAATCATTAACATCTATGTTTCACCAGTATGGACATCAAAGTACAGCACAGTAGAGCTCAGTAGAATAGAGTAGAGCAGGGGTCTTCAACCTTTTTTTTGCCCAGGGACCCCCTCGCAGGCAAACTGGCAACCCAGGGACCCCCATCATACGTTAAAAAAATAATTTTTCACCTGTCTTGTCTTAGCAGGTGAATGATAATGGCAAGGAGAAGTAAACAACATTTTAAAATAAATACATTTGGTAGATCGTTGATCATTATTTTGACCTCCCCACATTATAATTGGAAGAGGAAGTGTAAACTCTAACAGCCTATTAGCTAGAAGGTAACTCCAAACACATTTTCACATTTTAAGAACAGCTGTTTAGGTTAGCCATGTGTTTGCAGAAAGTCATGTTTATCAGCAGCCAGCAGCCAGCAGAACTTGCTGCACTGGTAGCCTATTTGTGGGTGCTTTTTCAAAGCCTATGTCAGATACTCCAGTGAGTGTAATTTGCTCAATATTAGGAGTTGAGAAATAAAGTTCACATAATTATAAATAAGATTCTCCTCTTCTACTGTAGGTATGTAATTAAACATTCCCCGCCCCTGTTTCTCTAAAAAGTTGAGGGATGGGACTGGAAAAATGTAACCACTCTCAAATTAATAGACGGAGGTATGGATGCAAGGACTGACCATCCATGATATCAAAATTATAGTTTTAACCTTGTTTTGAGGCTATACAGTGTTTGCTGCATTTACTTTGTTTACAAACAGCTCGTACACCTGCACATTGATCTGGTACTCCCTGTATATACAGTGGGGAGAACAAGTATTTGATACACTGCCGATTTTGCAGGTTTTCCTACTTACAAAGCATGTAGAGGTCTGTAAGTAGGAAAAATGTTACCATTTTTATTTAAGTCTGCATCGTTGGGAAGGGCTCATAAGCTAGCAAACACCTTTTGTATTCACCTCGTGACAAAAAATATTTGATTTGTAAAACAAGCTTATATTTTGGGTTCTGATGGAGTACAACAGTTGAACTAAACTCATGAGGCATTTATATTAGATTCTTTAAGAATCAATGGGTACATATAATTTATTTAGAAGTCCAAAAATGTACATAGCAACTGCATATTTAAGACCTTTAAGACTTTTTCTGGTAGATTAAATCAAAGCCTTTGCATATTCCTAATTTTTTGCATGGAAAATGGTTGAAAAATGTATATATGCCTTAATTTCTCAAAAATATAGACTCTTCGCTTTCATTTGACACCCAATTTAAAATGCTCCAATGAACTTCACATGTTGGTGCTCATAGGTCATTTTACATGGAAATGACCAGTTAAAAAAACAGACTTCTTCAAGAGCAAAAATATTGTTGTTGTAAATGACCTGAAACCCTCCACACAATTATATTGTTTTTGAAATGCCTTTTTCATTGTGTGTTTGGTACCTGCTGACATCTTGTGTGTTTTCATAAAAATACAAATAATTGTTTTCAGCTTAAGTACTAAAACATTATAAAATGCAGTCCACCTGCTGTCCCTTCAATATTTGAAATGTGTCTTAACCACATTCCATCCGCACCTCACCCTTTACAATAAATAATGTTTTAGAAGAAGAGTGCATGAAAGTGAAAGCTTATGCCAGCAGGTGAATAGTTGACATATATAAATAACACAGACAACACCTGTCACTCAAATATTTAACAATGCTCATTAGTCTCTCAAACAGAATTTCTGTAAAACCAAAGCCTGTTACAAGTGCTTATAGAACAGCCGCTCGTTACTACATTCTAAAAAATCTCAGGTGAAACCTCTTTCTTTCCCCCCCCCCCCCTCTTCCTCCCCCCAGGTTGCTCTCTAGTCTTCCAGGGCAGTAGAGGGTCAGAGGGAGTGTCATGTTGAAGCTGCTCTTCCACATAGTGCTGGTGTTGACCTGTCTTCACCCTTCACCTCACTGTACCTCCCTCCCTACATAAGCGAACTCCAGCTGCTCTCGGAGAAAGGTAAATATACTGTACTGTAAAAGCTTATGTGACCTTAATGCACCCAATTGTATTTGATCACCTGTTGTACTGTCTGACTCATTCATGTCTGAAAATGATACAATGTTTACAATAGCCTTAGCTGGGATTGACATTAAGGGTTGCTGTATTGCCTGGGGTAAGTGAACTGAGCAGTCACGCAAGTTGAGCCTGCTCTGAGGATGCCCGATTGAGCAGGTGGTAAAAAGAAAAAGGTGAAAACCACCTGCAAAGAATTCCAGTAGCTTAATACTCATCTTTCTGGTTCCTCCCCATTATTTAAGTGAAAGACAGACTATTTATGCCAGCGGAGCCTACTCTGAGATTTTGTTTACTGAAAACAACCAAAATATAAAGAATTTCAGTACTGATCTTTCTGATTCCTCCCCTATGTTTAGGTGAAAGGCAGGCAATATATGGCACTTCTGTGTGGAAATAGCCAATTTAAATTTACGGGCAAGTGATCATAATCTTCGGGGCAACCCAAAAATACTCCTGACTTGCTCGATTGGCAAGTGCCTTTCAGACTTTAAATGTAAATCCCTGCATAGCGGCTTCTTTGTGCCGGTGTTGAATTACATCAAGGTGGTGTAATGTTGTAGCCTGGAAATCCAGACTGAAGCATGCTACGCTTTACTATTGTTTCACTATTGAGTGGAATTCAGTCTGGATTTTCAGGCTAGTAATGTTACACAATCCTGACAACTGTTTCTGTTCTGTCCAGGTCTTTGGTCCTCGTGGAGAATGTCCTATGCATTTCAGAACCTGTTCAGCTGGAGTCAACCTCGATTGACACAGCCACATCATCTCCTTTTCCTATCACTGAGCTTCTTGTGCTACTTAGTTCCTCCCACAGGTAAAATGCACCAATACATTTCTCTGGAATTATTCACGGTGTCATGCTTGTCCAGGATGTAAGAATGAATGAGATCAATTCATTGATTTGATTATTTTGTTGTACTTAACATACACTTTATTGAATCTAAAACATTACAACATGAATACAGGGATGTTGATATGTTGGTATGACAGGGATGTTGGTAGAGCACGGCGTTTGCAACGCCAGGGTTGTGGGTTCGATTCCCACGGGGGGCCAGTATGAAAAAATATAATGTATGCACTCACTAACTGTAAGTCGCTCTGGATAAGAGCGTCTGCTAAATGACTAAAATGTAATACCATTGTCTAACAATAGATGCTTGCCTTTATTACATTGGGTGTGTCTTACACCTTGGCATCTCTTTACTTTGTGTGTTTATCTGGTTGATAGTAATTGTTTATACTGCCTGTTGGTTCTGAGGCGTGTATGCATATTTCGGTGGTGGCTCCACTCTGAATGGCTGTTTTTACAGTGTGGGTGAGTGATGCCACAAGGCATGGTGAGTTACAATGTAGGCCGGACAATGGGGCCTCTGTGAGTCAGTGGCGCTCGGGTAGTGGGGGAATGACTAAACAGAGGCGAAAGGGTCCATTCTCTAAAAGAAAGCAAAGGGGCTCAATCGCTGCAAGCAGTGTTTCAGGGAGTTTAAGTTACACCCACATCCCATAATATTCAGCTCTGGAGCTATGGCAACAATAGCCATGGGAATAGCTGTGCTGTCAGTGAGTGTCTGAGTTGGTGATGGTTGGTGCCATGTCTTGTCTAGAGACACACTCATCCTGCCTTTTTGTTTATGTTCTTGAGGCCCTGATGATAGGACTTTTGACCTTGGTGATAATGAAGCCTAATCACGGTTTTGTTTTGTCAGGGAAAGCCCTCATTTTCCCTTTACCGCTGTGACTTCATTGAGCAGTTGAGCTTCATGCATGTCTGGAGTGTAACTGTATGTTAAGAGATTGCATTTGCAAGGTGCATATGGCTATAGAGAGATGACATTGTAGGCTAAAGCTTGTTACAAGTTGAAAATGTCAATGACAAAACATCCATGCCCTAAATCAGTGGGGCGCAAAACCAGTGTCAGCTGTTTTTCTCATCTGTCTAGCACATTAATGTCACTGATTGCTCTGACTGCACACACCTGGCTTCCCAGAGCCAAAAAAGAAGGAACTAAAACCAACATACTCAGGGCCCCAAGCATGTAGGCTACTGTGGCTATTTGATCATATTGTAGGCCTACCAGAGTGGCCTGCCATAAAAAAACAATGGAGAAAATGCATCCCATAATATTTTAACATGGAAATAGTTGTTCTATCATTCAGCCTACAGTATTAGCCAATGTGTGGTGTTCAATGTAGCCCTACATTGCATTAGATTTTTGAGAAAAAACCTTGCGGCTTTTGAGATAAACATTAATCTGTTTATCCACTTGTCCTTCAGACAAGGAGGTGACTGAAAATGTTGTTGTTTGATGCAAGAAACCACTTTACAAAATAAAATGCATTATTGTTCCCATACCATTATTACAGAGAATCAGACAAATTATGCTACCCTCTGCCTATTGGCTACTTAGCTTATTCAAGCCTGTCTCAAAATACAACAATGCCCCTTTTAAGAGAAAAAAAAGCTCTTTACCTGACTCGCTTTTCAAAGATGCCTAGAAATGTACACGTTCTGTGCTCTTGTAGGAAGCAATCACTCCCCTATTTCTGACTACAAATGATCTATAACTGGGCTAATAACTCAATAACTAGCAAAGGAAATGAACAAAATGTGCACACCTGGCTACATGGCAGCTCTCGCTTTGATCTCAAAACAAGCACATCTACTCATGACCGCTCATACTGTAAACACAGTCCAGTTCAATGTAAATGGCACAGATCCATATATGGCAATGGTCTATTTGCAAATAGGCCTACTGCAGCTCTGATTGTTTATGCCGCACTGGTCTGTGTAGAGTACGGGCTGAGTAGAGGTTGTGAATGCAATAGAATCCTACTCAGATGCGTTCTGCCTACAACAAAATCTCTTGCATAGTTTGTTTTGTTTCGGTATGTTGCATTGAAAGTGGCTAATATTGCGTTGAATCGATCACAATTGCCACAGTAAAGGGAAACGTTGGTAGTGTTAACAGGGAAAACTCTAGAACAGTGGTCACCAACCTTTTCTAAGTCAAGATCACTTTCTGAGTCAAAATGTAAACAGAGATCTACCGCTCACATGACTTGAAAAAACGTAAGCCTATGCAACATTAACCAATTAAAAACAGGACTGTAGCAATGAGGTTTGTGCAGTAAGCTATAGGCCCAATACATTATCACCGCATATTGGCTTTGCTTGAATTGACCTGCCAATGCATTGTTGTTCGGGCCATTTTGTTTTGTTATATTTCTAAATTTGAGGTAGGCTATATGATTACATTTCAGTCATTTAGCAGACGCTCTTATCCAGAGCGACTTACAATTAGTGAGTGCATACATTTTTCATACTGGCCCCCCGTGGGAATCGAACCCACAACCCTTGCGTTGCAAGCGCCATGCTCTACCAACTGAGCTACAGGAGGGCCAATAATCACACCGGTAATAGATCTGTTGTTGTATTACTTGTGAGGCACAGCTGAGTGTGCATACATTTAAATAATTTGCTTGTTGTAGCGCTGAGTGGAAATAGGAAGAATGCGCATTTTATGGCTTATAAAAGTGTTGTATGCTGAGTAGGAACTTAAACATGAACTCACTCATAAAAACAGTAGCTCTTTGCTGTATTCGTTGACAGTTTCTCTCTAGTCTTGGTTTAAACGTTTTGAAATCTCACAGTATCAACTTTGCTTTAGCTTTCTTTTATGCCCGCTACATTTCTGCAGACACGGTAATCTGAGCCATCCGATTGGCCAGTGGTAGGCCTATAGAGCACTTGATTTGCTCTCTGGGCCCGCTGGGAAGGCAGTGTTTGTACCTTCAGACACATGAAATGGTTCAAAATGGCAACAGTTTGCCTACCCGGCACGCAGGGCAGCTGAATCAGGTGCACCTACCGCCAACAGCCCGAGACGAATAAAACAAAATAGGAACACAAGGCTTTATTGTTGGGTTGTGATTGACTAGGAATGCCTTGGAGATCAACCAGTCACGATCGACCGGTTGGTGACCACTGCTTTAGAAAATTGAGTGAAGTTCAATCTCCTGCTTCTCTCTGTGGGCTGATATTTCTACGCGGCAGTCCCGTGAGAGCTGCGCGGCAGTCTCAGGGCTACTGTGCGCAAGCACCCAGCTTAGCGGGAACATTGGCCCCAAGTACCCACCGAAAATACCCATCCTTGGCCCAGATGGCATAGTCACTGATCACATCCTCTTTATACACACTCTATAACAACTCTCGTTCACCCTCTTTCCCTATTCAGGTGTATCTGCCGAGATCTGCCGGGTGACAGGGGGAGTGTTGGGGATCCACTGGAGCAGCGTGGTTGGTTTAGGCTGGCGCCCCCTGGCCGTGGGGAGGAACAGCGCCAGCTGCTGGGAATCATGCTGCCTGGAGCCCGCCTGCAGCGCCGTGTGGAGCCTGGGGGGGCGCTGTGTGCTACTGAGCTGCTCCAAAAGAGGGGTCTGTCAAGTCACTTCTCTCCCCCAGCCCCACATTGAGTCCCTGGGGCTCCTGCAGCAGCTTTCAAAGGGCACCACCACAGCTCGGAGGAGAAGGCGGAGGTGGGCAACAACAGGAAAGGGAAGCCAGAAACATGGGTTGGACAACCAACTTTCTAGCATTGTGAGTCAACGGAAAGTTACAGTACTGTAGTTGAGTCATAGATTCCTGTTTACCCTCCCTTCTTCCTTCTGGGACAGAGTAGATGAAAGCAAAGACTAAATACCCTCATATAAAGTTATACATGCATGACAACCTTATTTCCCTAACTTATGTGTTAATGTAAGCTATGCAATCTCTTACAGTGAATTCGGAAAGTATTCAGACCCCTTGACTTTTTCCATATTTTGTTATGTTACGGCCTTATTCTAAAATTGATTAAATCGTTTTTTACCCCTCATCAATCTACACACAATACGCAATAATGGCAAAGCAAAAACAGGTTTTTAGAAATGTTTCCACATTTATAAAAAATAAAAAAAAAAAAATATCACATTTACTTAAGTATTCAGACCCTTTACTCAGTACTTACTTTGTTGAAGCACCTTTGGCAGCGATTACAACCTTGAGTCTTCTTGGGTATGACGTTACAAGCTTTGCACACCTGTATTTGGGTAGTTTCTCCCATTCTTCTCTGCAGATCCTCTCAAGCCCTGTCAGGTTGGATGGGGAGAGGCGCTGCACAGCTATTTTCAGGTCTCTCCAGAGATGTTTGATCGGGTTCAAGTCCGGGCTCTGGCTGGGCCACTCAAGGACATTCAGAGACTTGTCCTGAAGCCACTCCTGCGTTGTCTTGGCTGTGTGCTTAGGGTCGTTGTCCTGTTGGAAGGTGAACCTTTGCCCCAGTCTGAGGTCCTGAGTGCTCTGGAGCAGGTTTTCATCAAGGATCTCTGTGCTTTGCTCCGTCATCTTTCCCTCGATTCTGACTAGTCTCCCAGTCCCTGCCGCTGAAAAACATCCCCACAGCATGATGCTGTCACCACCATGCTTCACCGTAGGGATGGTGCCTGGTTTCCTCCAGACATGACGCTTGACATCCAAAGCGTTCAATCTTGGATTTATCAGACCAGAGAATCTTGTTTCTCATGGTCTGAGTGTCCTTTAGGTGCCTTTTGGCAATAGCCAAGCTGACTGTCGTGCCTTTTACTGAGGAGTGGCTTCTGTCTGGCCACTCTACCATAAAGGCCTGATTGGTGTACTGCTGCAGAGATGGTTGTCCTTCTAGAAGGTTCTCCCATCTCCACAGAGGAACTCTGGATCTCTGTCAGTGACTATCGGGTTCTTGGTCACCTCCCTGACCAAGGCCCTTCTCCCCCGATTGCTCAGTTTGGCAGGGCGGCCAGCTCTAGGAAGAGTCCTGGTGGCTCAAACTTCTTCCATTCAAGAATGATGGAGGCCACTGTGTTCTTGGGGATCTTCAATGCTGCAGAATTGTTTTGCTACCCTTCCCCAGATCTGTGTCTCGACACAATCCTGTGTCTGAGTTCTACGGTCAATTCCTTCGACCTCATGGCTTGGTTTTTGCTCTGACATGCACTGTCAACTGTGGCACCTTATATAGACAGGTGTGTGCCTTTCCAAATCATGTCCAATCAATTGAATTTACCACAGGTGGACTCCAATCAAGTTGTAGAAACATCTCAAGGATGGTCAATGGAAACAGGATGGACCTGAGCTCAATTTTGAGTCTTATAGCAAAGGGTCTGAATACTTATGTAAAGAAGGTATTTCTGTTTTTGTTTGTTTATAAATGTGCAAACATTTCTAAAAACCTGTTTTTTTTTCTTCACTTTGTCATTATGGGGTATTGTGTGTAGATTGATGAGGGGAAATAATATAATTTAATCAATTTTAGAATAAGGCTGTAACGTAACAAAGTGGAAAAAGTCAAGGGATCAGAATATTTTCCGAAAGCACTGTAACTGCAATGGTTACTTCATGAAGGCTATTGAAGACTGTACAATGTAGCCAATGTCTTTAGTCATCTTTCCATGCTTATCTGAAGTTCATGAAGTTCATCCATATCTTGGCAGCGGGTTTCCAAGGATGTAGAGCATCCAGCTCCAACAGTCGGCATCACCAGCGGAGTAGCTCTCCCTCAAACATCTGATAAGAATCACAGCCAGTTAACCAATGGAAGTGGAGAAGCTCCATCACCATCACAGCAGAACTCTACATCAGAGGACAGCAAAGACACAGCATCTTCCAACAGCAGCTTTGTGCTTCCCACTACTGCTCCTACAATCACTACATCACCAACCCAGGCTGGTAAGGCAGTGGATGCTAAACTCTGACTTAATATCCCTCAAAACCTATCCTCAACAACTGTTTGGTTAATAAGATACTAATAACAAAATGGATGTGTTGAGGTATGTCATCATGGAAGGAAAAATATGTAGCTCTAAACATCTACTCCCATTTCATAAACTGGCACCCACTGCAGATGTATGTCTACTGTTTGCACTTTGAATGAACTTCTGTTTCAGTGTTCCGCCCTCCATTTCAATCCATGTAAATCCTGTGGTTTCCATAACAGTGCGGGAATTGGTGGTGTCGGCAGGCGAGAGCGTGGAGGTCACGCTGCCGCGCAACGAGGTGGAACTCAATGCCTTTGTGGTGCCAGCGCCCCAGCCAGGTACTACTACTAAGCCTACCTGTATTATTACTTTGTTATACTGTATCATACACCACAGGATTTACACACCCCCTGTAGTCCACATCTCACCCTAATTCTGTAGAAGCATATCTGTTTCATTTGGCATGACAACGACAAAGGACTGAGCTAACGTAGAAAACAGACTGGTGCTAAGGCTAGCTCTGTATCCATGCATGTCATTAGTCATAGCTTAAATCCTCGGCTTTGATTCATCTTTCTCACTTCTCGAAAGGGACCAACTATGTATTTGACTGGCTCTTGAGAACTCATCCTAAAGACTACAGTGGAGAGATGGAGGGGAAGCACAGCAAGACACTCAAACTCAGCAAGGTACAGCTACTTGAATTAGTTCAACCATTACCTCTCATCACTTTCTCTCTCTCTGTTCAAACTCATGCCTCTTATCTGATTGAATTTATGACTAGAACCATTTATACAGTACTGTAACACTATGAGAAACAATTCTTATAGTATTCACTCCAATTCAACCTCTCTCTGGCTCTTGTTCATGTGTCCAGCTGACAGTGGGGCTCTATGAGTTTGAGGTGACTGTGGACTGTGACGGAGTACACGGAGAGGGCTATGTCAACGTAACAGTCAAACCAGGTGGGGGTTAAACTAACATGACTCGTATTGATTGTGTTTGATATGCTCTTTTGTAGGAACATGTGTAAACTGTAACATATATTAAAGGGCTCCTCCCCTGACTCTCCCATTTAATGGGCTTATACTGAAATGTCGACGATGACTCGTACCTGGGTCGTGTTCGTTAGAACCAAATGGAAGATAACAGACTGAAACAGGGATGGATTACCTGGAGTTGTCCAATAAGAAATGCTAATTTTCGTTTTCCATTGCAAAATGTTTTGCTGCTCGTGCCTTAATGAACACGACCCAGCTGTACCGTACAGCCAATTAGCTAACCTCTTCCACTTCACAGAGCCGCGGGTAAACAAGCCACCCGTCGCTGTGGTTTCCCCAAAGTTCCAGGAGATATCCTTGCCAACCAGCTCCACGGTGATCGACGGCAGCCGTGAGTTCAACTGGCTCGTTGGTCACAATCAAATCAGATAAACTAGAATTGCACCATCTGTGGATGTCAAAAGGGATTTTATGTTGCATCTTGTCTAGTTGTTTGCTGACAAAAAAAATACCAATTTGGTCAAGGGTGTCTTTATTTAGATTATAGCTAGACCATTTTAGGTTGAGAACCGGTATTTACCCTATAATGCTAGATGTTTATCTTTGGTTTGGCGCAAAGGCCCTCCAAACAAGACCCTGGGCAGTTCTTACATAATCAGCTTACATAAAACGATGGGAAGACAAACTTTTGTAAACAGGGTTGAGACTGGAGCAAAAGTATAGGCAGGGTGGCCTATACATTTATGGACTGTTTGTTTTTAACCAGTTATTTTTCCTCCCTTTTCTTCCTTTCCTGTCTTCCTCCTCTCCCTGTGTGCGGCCCCTCAGAGAGCACAGACGATGACAAGGTGGTGGCGTGGCACTGGGAGGAGGTGAAGGGCCCGCTGAGGGAGGAGAAGGTCTCGGCAGACACCCAAATCCTCACCCTTACCGGCCTGGTCCCAGGGAACTACACCTTCAGGTACTGTTACCGTGTCTTCTCAATGGGTATGTGGCACTTTGTAGTTTCTCTACCTAGTGCCTACACTTTCATTACCTTTGTATACCTCCAGGCACTGTTACCTTGTCTTCTCCATGGGCATGCACTGTCTTATATTTTCTCTACATATTTAAGCAATAAGGCACAAGGGGGTGTGTGGTATATGGCCAATATACCACGGCTAAGGGCTGTTCTTAGGCTGGGTGGTTCGAGCGCTGAATGCTGATTGGCTGACAGCCGTGGTATATCAGACCGTATACCACGGATATGACAAAACATTTATTTTTACTGCTCTAATTACATTGGTAACCAGTTTATAATAGCAATAAGGCCCCTCTGGGTTTGTGGTATATGGCCAATATACCACAGCTAAGGGCTGTATCTGTGTTGCGTCGTGTGTAAGAACAGCCCTTAGCCGTGGTATATTGGCCATATACCACACCCCATCGGGCCTTATTGCTTAAAGATACCTTTTTTTTTTCTGTGGGCATGTTCTGTTGTCTTCTCCTTTGTATTCCTCTTCGATCTCTTTCTTCAGCTGTTTTCCTCATACCATTTCACAAGCATTTGCCCACGCCCCTCTCCCCATTTCAGCCATAGGTGAAGGCTCGGTCTTAGACAGAAGCAAAACTTTTCTCCCTATTTTCTCCCCTTCAGTCTGACGGTTACGGACTCGGACGGGGCCCAGAGCTCCACCCAGGCCACGCTGTCGGTCAACAAGGCCATGGACTACCGGCCGGTGGCCAACGCCGGGCCCAACCAGGTCATCACGCTACCGCGCAATGCTGTCACGCTGCACGGCAACCAGAGCGCGGACGACCACGAGCCGCTGGCCTACGAGTGGTCGCTCAGCCCTGAGAGCAAGGGCAAGGTAGTGGAGATGCAGGTGAGAGAGGAGCACCAGGGGAGGCTTCAGTTTGTCAGGGACCATGCACAGGTCTTAACTAGAAATCAAGGGGATTCGAGCTGTTAGTTTATAGCCTTTTTGTTGTTTTAAAAGTGGAAATTCTTCATTTCGACACCAAAAAAAGGGAAATTCTTCTCTCCCATCGTGACAGTTCTTCTCTTCGTCCTATAGGGCGTGCGGACTCCCACTCTGCAGCTGTCTGCCATGCAGGAAGGAGACTACACCTTCCAGCTCACTGTCACAGACACAGCCGGACAGCAGGACACGGCACAGGTCACCGTTATCGTCCAGCCAGGTAAACCAGCAGCACATAGATCATGTGTATCTATGGCTAATGTCAACATCACTGCAGTGGTAATTGCTTGAATATCATGCCTGTTTTACATGAAATAAGACACACATTTTGTCTCATTCTATTATATAACATATCTGAATGGATGTTGGTTTAACCTTGATGAAACATACATTGAGAACAGAGACAAACAACTGGCACGATTCTGTACATGAAAATAGTTATGTACGGATATTGTCCTCCCATAATGTCACAAAAGTCTATGTTCTCCTGAGCCTGCTTGTGTTCCATCGTCCTCAGAGAACAATAAGCCCCCAGTAGCAGACGCCGGCCCAGAGAAGGAGCTGACCCTGCCTGTGGACCGCACAACTCTAGACGGCAGCAAGAGCACGGACGACCAGAATATCTCCACCTACCACTGGAAACAGAGCAAGTCAGTATTCACACACTCACACACGTATGCACAGACAGGCGGACACAACATGCACATAGACGCACACACACACACACACACACACACACAACTGCATGCATGCTCACTTTTGAGCTCACACACTCACTTTCTCTCACACACACACATACACACTCCCAAATACACACACACCACACTTTGGCAAATTGCACGCTCCCTGTTCTCTGTGATTGAGAGTGACACTTAGTTCAACTACCAGAGGCAATATGGGAGTGGAGATGACACTTTTTTGAGCTCTCTTCACTTCCATCTCTCATGTTATATGGCACAGTTCTGTGCTGATAGTGGAACTGCTGTTTCTCCACGTCTGACTCTGTGATGGTTGTCTCTCTCCTCTCAGGGGTCCGGATGGAGTGAAGATCGAGAATGCTGATGGCGCAGTTGCCACGGTAACAGGGCTACAGGTGGGCGAGTACGAGTTCAGCCTGACCGTGACGGACGAGAGGAATCTGGCGAGCACCGACACGGTCACGGTCATCGTCCGAGAGGGTAACTGTCCTCTGTGTGTGTTTGCCTACAAGGCAATGTATCAGAGACGTAACTCTTTGAAGCTTTCAAAAACAGGCTAGACAAGGTAATGGTCTCACTTAACTGTCAACTGAAGTCTAGCTGAGCTGAATGTCAATACTCTTTGAAGTATAACTAAAGTATAACTCTCACACCTATAGTTTTACGAGGTGCATGGAAACCGCACACAGAGTATTTCAGAATACTCTTTGGCACTGCAATGTCCTTAAATGTGTATTTTCTCTCTACCAGAGTTGGACCAGCCCCCAGTAGCCCATGTCCAGTCCAGCCCGGCCATCTCTTTGCCCCTACGGACTGCAGCCCTGGACGGCTCCCACTCCACAGACGACAAGGGCGGAGTCAGCTACTTGTGGACCCGTGACGACAGTAGCCCTGCAGCAGGGGTGAGAGACAGAGTCCACTCCGTGGTACTATAACGAATAACATAAATATTTACAGAAAATATTATGAAATATTAGGTGAGCTGTACAATGAACCCATAGTAAGTAAACAGACAAATACAATCTAGCATACATTTCCCTCTTCATGTTGTATTAAGTAAAAGCATTCTTACCATACTTATCTTGCATTTCTCATGATAAACATTCTGCTTAATAATATTTGCATACAATGACCTACTACTGGAAATATTTGGAATAAGAATGTGTTCTGCTCAGACAACAGTTTTTCTGCTTTTCTTTTTTCAGTAGTGTAGGCCATTGCAGGCAGCTAGAAAATACAACGTTCTGCAATTATCACATAATTCAATGTCTTATTCAGACTTTGAATTGAGAAATGTGTCATCAGCATGAGACAAAATATCATTGTAATTGATCAAATACAAATAAATGCATCTTGTTTGAAGAATTAATTGTAGTCTGTCCCCCAGGATGTACTGAACAATTCTGACCACCAGGCAGTGCTGTTCCTCACAAACCTGGTGGAGGGAAAGTACAGCTTCACCTTGACTGTGACAGACAGCAAGGGCCAGAGCAGCTCAGACAGAGGGACTGTAGAGGTCAAACCAGGTCAGTGGGCTCCTCATGGTCTACATACACACAAACACACATGCCCAGTGCAAAATCAACCCCTAGACACTTGGTCTGAAAGAATCAAAAGGATGTGGTTATACCTACAACTAGCTTTTTGGTATACTAGGGTTATTTTTCCACCATATTCCTTACACCCAATCCACTCAGATCTATGGGAAGTAGGAGCAATAATCTATTTAAGACTGGATCTCACATACACACACACAGCAGAAATAGCTTCTGCACACACTATCATTATCCCAGAGTCTTCTTCTCTTACTCACTCTGTCCTCCTCCCTCTCTCTCCTGTCAGACGTGTGGCAGCGTGACCTGGTGGAGCTGGTGCTGGAGGTGTCTGTGTCCCAGGTGTCCCACCGCCAGAGGGACATGCTGCTCAGGCAGGTGGGTGTGCTGCTGGGCGTGCTCGACAGTGACATCATCGTACGGGGGGTCAGCGCCTTCAACGAGCACAGGTCAGCTCCTTTCCACTATATTCGGTCGCTTCAATTCAACTCACTCAACTTTATTGGCACAGTACGTTACTATATTGCAATGTAAGTGCAAGAACACAGGAATACACTCTTTCTCTGACATACACTCTTCTACACATTTTAGCATGTGTTGTTTTGGCCCATCTGACTCTGATTAAATTCGTTGATAACACTATTTGGGGTTGTATGAACAATGTGTAACTTTGTTACCACACTTACAGGGTATGCACATGAGAGATTATTTGTTACAAAAACTAAGAGGCAATAGTTATAATTACGAAGAATTAGTCATTATTAAGCTGGTTGAGTTAATCTATTGATTTCTCCTCACAATGAGCAAACCCATTTAATTTGTCCTCAGCTTGAGCGAACTGTTAATTTCTTCCCATCTCCATTCCTCTGTTTTCAGTACTCGTCTGGTGTTCTTGGTGTCTGGGGGTCCGGGTCGCCCCCCTCTGTCCGGTCACAGTGTGGCTCTGGGGCTACGCAACAAACTACACAAACAGAAGAACGACTTCCTCATCTTCAAGGCACGGCGGGTGGACACAGTCAGTGAGTATCAAGACACGAGAGAAGAGAAAAGGAATACATAGATGGAGTAATGTATTAGGACTAATTAATTGAAACTTAGTTGACTTTCCCATACCTTTTTTCTAACTTGCAACATGAAATTAATCTTTTTTTTATGGTTCTCCGGGCTAGATAGATTAGTCTTACAAGACAGTTAGGATAGGTTTGTTGTCTTTGACCAAGAAGACACTAAGCCTGTGGCCTGACCGAATTCAAAGTTCACATCTCTAACGTCTCTCTCCCCCTGCAGTCTGTCAGCTGAACTGCTCCAGTCACGGGGATTGTGACTCATTCACGCGGACCTGTGTCTGCCACCCCTTCTGGATGGAGAATTTCATCAAAGCACAGTTGTGGGACCAAGAGAGCAACTGTGGTAAGGAGCGGAGTAGACACTCATGGAATTGAAGATTATGAGATTATATATTAGGATACTGTGAAGAGTCAAGAGACTGCCTGACTTTACTTCAGAGTATGTCACACAGTAGAGAGCGTTGTAGTGGAAATAGCAAGTGAGGAAAGTGCTGAATTCAAGCTTTCTCATTATGACAACCTGCGACTTATATTGATTCTCTCTCTCTTTCAGAATGGAGTGTGCTGTACGTGACCGTAGCATCCTTCATGATTGTGGTTGCCATCGCGACAGTTGTCTGGGTTATGATGTGTTGTTACCGCAGGTAAGAGTGCCACTAACATTGAGATTTACATTTTGTATATTAATATTATTGTTGCTTCTTTTACATTGCATGGTATACTACTCTGTTTAAATACATACTTATTGTCCATACAGTAATGTGTAATAAGCACACTGACAGGAATGTGTGTTTTGAACAGGCGTAGGGGTAAAGTGCGCCACAAGAGTAAAAGCCGCTACAAGATGCTTAATGGCGAAGAGCAGGACAGCCTGGAGCTACAGCCACCCCGAGCTGGTAACACACACACACACACACACACACACACACTACCTACTCTCTGTCCCTTATTTTCTTAGAATATGTCTAACACCGCCGATCCCTTCCCTTTCTCCCCCACCAGGCCGAATGAAGCCAGCCCCCGCTCCCTCCTCCTCGGCCCTCATGCGCTCTGACTCTGACCTGGACAGTGACGACGGGCAGGGAGGGGTCCCGTGGACGGACCGGGAACGAGGACACCTCCTCCGACCCCAGAATGGAACCCTGAGAAACAGCCAGGGTCCCACCAGGAGCAAAAAGCAAAGAGAGGAGCTGCTATAACAGAGGGTGGGGGAACACCCCTCCCCACCCCTAAACCCTCACCAACCCCCCTCTCTCTCGCTCTTCTCCACCACACAAACCGTGCACCTCTCCACCCATAGGACACTTAAGACGCATGGATCCTGGAGAATGAGAGAGAAACCTGTTGGACACAGGGTCAAGCCACTCACCCACACACCCCCGTATTGAAACCTTCCTGCGCCCACACTGAGCCAAGATGAAGGAGATGAGGTTTAATCTTTGAGAAGGACAGACCATTTAATGGTAAAATGGGGGAGTTGATAGGGGAATGAATGGTTAGAATGTCAAGTTGAGCGCTGTTCACCCCTGAGACATGGAGAATGTACCCCCCCCCACTTCTAGAAGGAACAAACTGGAGACTGCTAGTGAAGACTAGCCTGATCGATCCTGTTCCCTTCAGACAGGAACTTTACTCCACTCCAATGTCATGTGAACCACATGGAAACTGAGCCCGTCTCTCTCTCTCTCACACACACACACACACACACAGAATCTATCTAAGACGCACACCTCTTCCCAGGATGCTTGACACAACACACTTCCAAGTACTGTTAGGCACTACCCAACGCTGGCCAACTCCACTCTGACATAGGTTACAATATGATTGACAAGTAACTTGTCTAGATTAAAACAAATCTAGATATCCGTCCATGACACAGTACGGCTGCAGTTGTGGTATGTATATGTATTAATGTTTGGATGGTGGTTAGGTCTGCATGAATGTGTAAAAAAATCTGAATATGCGTGCTTTTGGCCATTTTGCCAAAACGTCTTGTTTCAGAAAAGGGTTGTGTGTTTGTTTGACACTTACCAGCATTGAGAGTCGAAACTGCTACTGCTGCTGTCAGCCATGTTGGTCAGAGTCAGAGGATCCTGGGAAATGCTGTTTTACGAGAGCCATGCCTCATACTGTATGAACTCACTGGATGACACACTGGACTACACAACGTTGATGCGCCTACCCCTATGACTGTGTCCCTGGGAGATGATAATGATGAAGATGACACCAATGACACATGGGGAAGAAAGGGGCAATGCTTCCTACTCACTCACCTCAGACACTAACGACTGCTCAAACCTGGAAAACCACTTAACGTCTTGTCTGTTTTGAGATTTATATTGGCGCATCATTTTGATTCTGATGCACTTCGTTTTTCACGCTCACTGTGGCTCTGTCTGCATCTCCACACATTGATCAGATTGGGAATTAATTCAGTTCAGCCGTAGACTCAGAGTGGGACTCCATTGCCCAGCGCGTACCTCCTCCATATTTGAATGGTGTTGTCATTTTGTATGTAGTTTACTGTGAACCTAACCCTTCAGTCTGACTTTAGTTACTTTTTTGGTTGTTGAATGTTTAAGAGGAAAGCCCCCATCTAATTAGAGGAACGCTCTGTGAAATAAGCTATCTCAGTGCAAAGTCATCTCTTACTGTTGCTCCATTGCACTAGTGGAGCACATTTATGAAAGATTAGTAGCGTGCATTCTGGGACATGGAGTCCACTGTGAAGGCAGACCGGGAGCTGCAACAAAATGAAGGGATTCTGTGTTCATTTAATTGTTCAATAACAATATAAGGACCTGCTATGTTACCAGACCTGATGAAACTGGATTATCTGTAAATTAAAATCAAATGTTTTAATTTGTCCTCCTTTTTTTGTCAAGACTCCCAAAGTATTTTAGGTTATGGCTAACCTAAAACATCTGAAAAAGTATTGTGACCTACCCTAAACAAATCCTGTTTATTCCAGTCACAATAAGTCTAAATAAGTCTTTAGCCCAGGAGAGACCAACTGTGACCCATTGAGAAAACACTGCAATGGCATACACTACTACACAGCTATCTATTCTGTTGCCACTTACAGGTTTCACGTTCTCTTTTATGGCTGACCATTACTGACTGTAGTTCCCCTTTAGTGCTCCATAACAGTAATTGATGAGATGAAGCCGTCTTAGATGATGATGGCCGCCTTTGGTCTCATTAATGTTATTCCGCCTGCTTGACTTTGATCTATCCATAGACTAGACCGGGTGCAGTGTGTAAGTCCGTTTAATCACCTCACCACTGAGTGTTGACCTAATGGCTTTGAATACCCAGTCAGTAATGAGATTGAGAGTTAAAGAGATGATCTGATACTTTTGTATAGTTTTTAGCCAGTAGGTCTGAAAGTAGCATTCACGAGCCAAAAGTGGTCCCCGAAAATATACTACGTCATATACAGTATGTGCAGATATGTGCACAACTTCATTGCTCACTCTCTCGCTCCGCTGCATCTTGCTAGCTGCCACTCAAATGGTGAGAGGCTGAAGCTCATTGGCTAGAACTCAAATTGCTAGGGGGCTGGCCCACGTGGGGAAAATGGCGGAGCACAGCTTCCAGAAAAACATTTGCTTTCAAACTAGGGGTTTCGTGGCTAATTGAGGTAAAACAGTAGTTCTGCTCAGAGATTATGCATGTATCATTTCATTTACATTTCAGTCATTTAGCAGACTCTCTTATCCAGAGCGACTTACAGTTAGTGAATGCATATTTTTTATTTTTTATTTTTTTTATACTGGCCCCCCGTGGGAAACGAACCCACATCCCTGCCGGCCAAACCCTCCCCTACCTTGGACCAATTGTGCGCCGCCCATGGGTCTCCCGGTTGCGACAGAGCCTGGACACGAACCAGGATCTCTAGTGGCACAGCTAGCACTGCGATGCAGTGCCTTAGACCACTGCGCCACTCGGGATGAACTACACATTGACACATCTAGCCCAAAGAGGTTTAAAAAAATAGTAAAACATACTTAGTAGCCAAAGTTCCAGAGCATGCATGTCTTTAAATCTAACTCACATCAGAGATCTGAGTGGGTGGACTAACAAACACATTGGTGCTTGAGAGTATCAATTCTACAGTCTGATCACTGACTAAATGGATGAACTGACTGACTGATGTATAATTAGTTATTTGGATGCAAGATGATTTGTAGATCAGTCAGTCTGCCTAGTCGCTAATGCTCTCAAACACTGCCATTGTTTCAGTTGGATTGTGTGTCTAGCGATCCCCTCACCTGAAACAGCTACTCAACAGAGATGTGTTCAGACAAGAGAATTAGGGCAAACACTGTGTTCAACTATTTAACACACACCACTTGCAACCAATGTTTATTAACCAATTGCTTGCAACCCATGAACATACTAACACCAAGCAAATCAGTTCATCAATGACAGCCATTTTGATGGCCGTTACTGATGGCAGCCTTTGCTGAGAAGGGCAGTGGGGATTTATAGGCTATATGTGAGTTTCTGGTCGACTGGGTTTGAACTCAGGTTCAACAAGACTGTTTGCCAATAAAAAACCTTTCAAAATAAAGCTGATTATCTCAATGCCTTCTGAGCATAGACCTGACCTCTTCAGGTTAAAAGCAAGGTTGGTCATCATACTGCAGGCCTCCTCTCCACAATGACCTGTGATAGACGGCATCAACTGACTGAATCTGGGTCACAACACCAATGTGACCGTCTGGGTTTGAACTTGGTTGTCTGGACACCACAAGACCGTGTTAGCCCGCTGATATAAAGCCTAGGCATTGCTTCCGGCCAGGGAGCTAAGGCAAGCATTTAGGTCTCACTGGCAGGATCACTCATTCATCAAGCAAGTGTGGTTGACTGAACCACCTCCATTATATAGGTAGTCAAAACTGGCCCCAAATTGTGCTGACTGTCAAACTGTGGTGAAGCTGAGGGGTAGAGTGAGTATGGACGTCACATCAGTAGGCCTACCCTACTACCAGATGCTGATATACAGTATAATGTCATGAGCAATTTATCACAGTGATAGGGCATCGGGCCATACTGTGTTCGGAACAATGACAGATATTGTGAATTGCAACTGAGACCAGAGAGTGGGAGGAAATGTTTATTTCTGAAGAAGAGGAAGGAAATATGTTTTTGTGTTCTCTTTCATTTATCTTCACTCTCTTCTCCTTATAAGGGAAAGGAATGGTTGCGCGAATAAGGGCGGAAACGCCGCGCACTGACAGCTGGGAGTTGCCACACTCATACAGGAAGAATAGGCAGAGCAGTCAGTCTGCTAGCTCGGCACGCACCCACAGAAATTTGACGGTGATTAAAGACCTAATCAGTGCTTGTCCAATTTAGCAGGTAAGGATTAGGTTTTTGTAACTCTGTGGGCCTATGTTACCTTATATTACTCCTCCTAAATTGTCTTATAGGTGCACACTAGTCCGTGTCATAATGCACCTCCGACTCCATTGCATTGAACACTCTGACATTTTTGTTATGATTTAGCGTGATACTAGGTAGATTGTTGCCTGATGTGAAATTGTAATAGCTAGACATTATTCCATGATTGCAATATTTTGATGCATTTCATGTATGTTAAAGCGACGCAACCCAAATGTGAAGTTATTCATTTTTGCAGACTAGTGCAACAAGGGAGGGGTATGTAAGAAAATACAGGAAATGCCGAAAGACAGAGGGAGGGGGGAGTATTTGCCCCATTAGTATTTTGGTCGAGTTCGGGACTCTAGCTGCCTGAATAAATCGTTAACTGTGGTGGTGGTGGTTGTTAACTTTGCTAACCAACACTCTTCATGTAAAGGGGTGTATTCATTACATAAACCGTTTACGTTACCGTTTAAGAATCAAACGAAACAAAGCGAGAGTTTATATTGGTCAAATTCAGGTAGGTTCATCCCCGTTTCGTTCCGTTTGCTTCCGTTTAAGAAACGTTTTGCAACAGAATTGGCATAATGAATACGCTACAGCTAACGTTAGCTTTTTCATTGTTGCTAGCTAGCTCCCTAGCATACGCTAGCTATAGCTAACTACCTCGGCCGACTCCCAATATCATTATCATCGGCTTGCAAAGATTAGCAGTGCTTCCCTAGCTACCTAGCCATGATAGCTAGATGGAACATTGACCATCCCAAAACTGTGTATTCCTCTGGATACCGGCAGGCGCAAGACGCCGGCGTATATTTGCCCTACTTTTCTCCTTACTAAAGCAGAAATGACCTGATTTTATTTTTATCCCAGACTACAACACACAGCAGACTGAGCCTATGCGCCTTTTCCCTTTACGCACCATCTGCGCGCTCTACTGCACGTCTACCCCGAGGCTGTTGGCGAAATGTGTAGCTAACCTACTTCAATCCATCATTCACAGGTCCTGATATCCATGCTGAAAATTGAAATAATGTGTAATTGCCAATGCGTTTAGAGGGCCCTTGAATAATACAACGCGCTTGAAACATGCACAGCCTTTGGAAAACAGATGTATTTTGCCTGGACAGGAAAGTTTCCCGGTGCTCAGCACTTGGAGGACCTCCAGCCGCCCCTAGCTGCAGTGCCCAATTAGCATACTTCTTCCTACTTTCCAAGTGCACTTTAAGCACCATTTCCTAACTATCCATGTAAGCGACACAAGTTGACCCACCCTGGTATAACCACAGGAGCAGGTCTAGGTTGAGTCATGGCACTGACATGGCAACAAGGAAGTAAAATACAAGTTGAACTAAGTCTATACAAGGGCAGGTGGACCCAATCTTCCAAGCACAGGCCTATAGAAGGATAGGCAGGGTGTGCACAAATATCTATCCCCATGGTGAAATTTTGGCTGTGACTGCATACATAAAAACACATCAAAGATGGACAAAGGACATATACAGGTAGAAAAAGTGCAGTTCATGAGCAATTAATGTACACTATAGACAACAGTCAACTACAATTCTAGCTGTAGGCCAGCCCACTGGTCCTACTTGTAGTTGAAACATTATTTGGCCAATGACAGGAGTGGAATGTAATGGCTGAACAGAGACTGCCTTACTGCTGCTGGGACAAAGGGTTGTTTGGCTCTATTCCTTTGGTGCCCTGTAACGTCTCCCTGAGGGTAGTAGCTCAAACTCCTTATAAAGAGGTCTGGGGTCCATCAGTACCTTGCAGGCTTTTGTGAATGACCTCCAGACCTGTCTGCTTGACCCCTAGCACCTTACTAGTAGAGCTAACCAATTTTCTTAACATATTTACAAAGCATGAGTTAGTGTCTGAGGCAGCAAAATGTTCTTGACATCTAAAATGAAGATGCAAGACTGCATCTCTGCCCGGCTTGGCACCACAAACATTTGACAAGCAAGTAACTGGATGGGAAACATTTCCAGATGGCAGATTTTATTACAGGTCGCTCTCTGGTCTCTTAATGGTTAATGTAATGATGTTTCTTATTGCTCTCCATAAAACAAGTGGGCCTACATGTTTGTTTCTCAAACATGAACAAGGCTGTGAATTATATAGGCTGAAAGGTTCATCTCCAACCAAATCAAAAGCCATTGAATAATTTGGTAGCAATATGCATTTAGCATACCCCGCCCTATGTCACAAGCAATACTTTACTCTGGGAAAGTGAATGGTGAGGGGATTATCCCAGGAGAATAGAGCGACATGGATCCACTGTCATTAATGGGATGAGGTCTTTGTGTTTCCATTCAGGTGACAGTACCTGAGGCAGTCATTCAGAGGAACAGGGTATCCGGTTTCTATAATGCAATGTCAGCCTCTAGGGTGTGTGTGCGTACTCCTGCAACGGCATTTCACAACCGTAGAGAAGATAAAACACTTATCACTTTGTCAACACAGAGGACTGTTGTTGAGAATCTAGATTTAGCTGTGTTCAATTAGCCTTAGTGTACACTAGGCCTGTGTAGTTATGAGTGGTTGCTTTGATGTAATATGGGCCAGGGATTGGGGAAGGTTGCGTAATGGCAATAACAGGGAGGGAAGGCCAGTCTTATTACCTGCATACCTGTACTCAGCGGGTCTTGACATGTCCCCCAAATCCATTCCAGTCCTCATTCTTTAACCACTAGTTGGGTTAAAGTAAAAAATGGTCTTCCCCCTTTTGGTTGTTTTCTGTCCAGTTTTATCTATGGCCACAATCTCAAATTCTATTGCCAAAATAGCAGTAGGCGGCCTATTTTTAATGACTTGATGGAATGACAAAAGATATAGGCTTAACATGCCGAGACAAGTAGGCCTACTAATGTAATGAAAACTTTAAATGAGCAGCCAAAAGGGGAGGGGGGAGAATTTCCCTGTCACTAACTCATTCTGCAGTCAAAACTACTTGCTGACAGTGATACTTTGATAGTAAACAAGCAGTGACCACTGAACCCCTCAGCTGATGTTTCCCCTTTCCTCTCCCCAGGAATGGCAGAGTTGGCAAGTCTGGTGCAGCGGCTGGAGGCGGCTGTGGGTCGTCTGGAGGCCGTGTCGGGCGATGGAGGTGGCTCTGCTGGAGGCTCTGGAGGTAACCTAGAATTTTCCATATTGTAGCCTTTCCTGTCATACAAACATGAATGCTAGAAATCATTTTAAGACTGAGATAGAATTGAGTCCAGGTCCTAATAATGCTAAAGAAACTTCCACAGTTTAGATAATGGAGGTAAAATTTAAACATGACTCACAAGTAGAACAAACATAACCCATGAACATTGGTATCGCTGACTTTTCTCCCTATTGCCATCCATTTCTTGCAGTCGTGGCAGCTTACGTGGAGGCCTATGATGGCATCGTCACCGGAGCAGTTGCCCAGTACATGACCCTCAGCCAGCAGATAGGGGGCGATGTCCAGAAGCATGTAAGTTGAATTGCACGACAGGGAAAAGTTGGTTATTGGTGGATGCGTATGATACAATTAACCAAACCTGGCCCTTTTCTCATCTCTCACTCCCTCTCTCTCAGGCGGACATGATGAAGCAGGCGTTCTCCTGTCAGAGACAGCTCCTGGTCACCTCCTCCTGCTCCCAGAAGCCCACTGATGTGAGTTGGTTCATCCATCAGCAATCACCTTGACCCTCAACATTATAGTATTCAGCAGAATAAGTCATTATTTAGATAAACGGAACAGTAGATGTACTGTAGTTGTCTCATTAACGAATGTATTGGCAATGAATCAGCAGTGTAGCAATTGGGTCAACTGATTCCAATGCCATAGCATGGTTTTTCTACATTTTCTTGCCACATATTATTTCATGTAATTAATTGCCTTTTTACTCACGCTATTCCACCCTGGTTGGCGCTTAGAAGATATCATATTTTGTCATCAGGTGCAAATACATACGTTTCTTTGCATCTCTAGGATGTTATGATTTAACTCATGGTTATTTTCCCTCTATAGGCATCCTTGACTACTCTCCTGGCCCCCGTCTCCAAAGTGATCCAGCAGGTGCAGACGTTCCGCGAGCAGAACCGCTCCTCGCCCCTCTTCAACCACCTCTCGGCCGTCAGCGAGAGCGTGCCTGCCCTCGGCTGGGTCGCCATGGTGAGGGAAGGGAGAGGAGGGGCTTGACACTGCCACCACAGTGTGTGTGTGTGGGCGGTGTGTAATTGGCGGAAACAAACACGTCTTTCATTCTGTAGAAGTCTGAGACTGTTCGGCAGTGACATTTTAACAAAGTTCCTCTATCAACAGTGCATCATTGTTGAAACTCTGGAATTATCATTTTGATTAATGAATATTAATGAGAACTGCTGCATTGTAATGAACAAAGGCAAACCTAGACTTTAGTATGCCGGTGGATGCAACACTAAAAACCATTGTAAGCCATCACATCAGCTGTGTCCACACAAGCTCTGTTTGAAGAGCAAGAACTCTCCTGCAATGTTCTAATGTTATTTCTCTTCCAGGCTCCTAAGCCAGGTCCCTATGTGAAGGAGATGCAGGATGCTGCCCAGTTCTACACCAACCGTGTGCTCAAGGACTACAAGGAGAAGTAAGGACCATCTGCTCTGCTGTATGTTGTTCTTGAACCTTTTTCTGACTGCCAAGTCCCCTATATAGTTAAGCTGGACACTGGATATTTTCTTCATCCTTTGGTCTCTCTCCTGTTGTGTTAAACTCAATTGCCTTGTGTCCTACTCCTCAGGGACCAGAAGCATGTGGACTGGGTGAAGGCCTACCTGTCTATCTGGACTGAGCTTCAGAACTACATCAAACAGCACCACACCACCGGACTGACCTGGAGCAAGAGTGTAAGTCCTTTAACTTTACTCTCTCTTTACTCCTCGTGTCAGTACAGGAGGGATACACTTTATCGGCGGCTCATTAACAGACTTAGTGCTGGGGGTAGGGAAAAGTGAGTTACCGTATGAGTAAAATAATGACATGGGCTTATTTAGGAAAGTGGACCGGTTCAGAATAGAACCGCTCTAATTATGTTTATCGAACATACATGAAGATCTGTCATACGGAATATGGAATCATCAGACTGGGCTCTGTTTGATTTTTCTATCAGCACAGTACTAAACATCACACTCAGTTTTCAACTAATGTCTTTGGTTTTATGTGCAACAAGAAGGCTGTGTGTGATAGTGTGACGGTAAAACCACCAATGTGTAGGTTACTCGTCAGCCCTTTCCTATCTACAGTTCAAACAATTGCACGTTATTGAATTAGACCAAGTTGTTAAGAGCAGGAAATGACCATGTCTAGTCATGTGTATAACCAATGTGCTGTGTTTTTTGTCATCCCAGGGTCCAGTAGCCTCTGCCTCTGCAGCTCCCCCTCCCCGTGCCGGTGGCGGTCCTCCTCCCCCCGGCCCTCCTCCCCCTCCTATGGACTTCAGCGGGTCGTCTGGCAGCGGCGGAGACCAGGGACCCGACACGCGTAACACCCTCTTCGCTTCCCTCAACAAGGGAGCTGACATCACCAAGGGTACGTGTCAAATAATGAATCCTCAAAAGTTCTCAAGAATCAGAAGCTCAATTTATTAAGAAGTACTTTGAAACATACATGGCTCACTTGAAGAAGATGTAAATCTCAATGTGACTTACTTGGTTAAATAAAGGATAAAGAAAATAATACAATGTGAGAAGCAAATTGACCCCAACCCTTCCATTCATTATCCAGGGCCTTCCATTATGTAAGGGCATTTCTCCTTGTCTACCAGCACAGTACCACCATGTGTCTCACCCATCTTACTGTATATTTTCACTGACTGTATGTTACTCTGGATAATGGCATCTGGTAAATGACACAAATGTTAATATTTGTGTTCCCCCTCTCCAACTTTTGTACTTTTTGTCCCTAGGCCTGAAGCACGTGTCCAAAGACCAGATGACTCACAAGAACCCCAACCTGAGGACCCAGACCAGTTCTGTGCGCACAGGGCCCAAGCCCTTCACCTCTTCCAAGCCAGCCGCCACCGCCGCCCCCTCTCGCAAGCTGCCCCCCGTTCTGGAGCTTGACGGCAAAAAGTGGAAAGTGGTGAGCTATTGGTCCTTGTCAAGTTGTTTACACTGGTATACGGTTGTAAGAGTCTGTTGCAGATTTTTATTTTTAAGGTTCCAATACAAATAATAATGTAACTTGTATAGTGCTTTTCATTATAGAAAATAATCTCAAAGGGCATAAAAAGCAAAACAATGAATTTTTATAGAGATGTAGATTGATGTCTCTATTTGGCTTTGGATGAAAGGCTGGGAGTTGAGGCAGTTTGGATTGAAAAGGCACTGTAGCTTCAGCAGAGGGCGCATCGATGGTACAGCCAGAGCGAAACAAAGACAGTCTGACAAACAGGCCCGGAGCGCTTCATCAGTACACCACATCTGCTTCTCCGACAGTCAGTTCCTCCTATAGGAAAAAGGTTCCTATAGGCAATGTTCTCTCTTCACAGCCTCTTAAAGTAACTGTCCAGTGAAAATCTCACTTTTAAAAGTTCATATTCTGTTAATTTATACCCAAATAATGTTGGTGACTCATCCTATACTTGTATTTGTGGCCAAAGCATAAATTGGAGAACAAACACTTAAACCCCTCCCCCTCCCCAAATCTTGTATTTCAAACCTTTAAAAAAAATGCTTGCTATTTCCTCATAGAGGATTTAACTGGCCAATCAGCGGTATACTCGCATTAATATTTTTAATGAACGGTATACGCCCACACCATTCTGTTGCCAACACCATTCCAACACCGAAAATATTTTAAAACATACTTAATTACCATTGTTTGGAAGGAAAAGTATTTGACTCATATTTTAATTAATTATAGGTCATTTTTCATAAAAATCTGGAAACAATGGACAGTTACTTTAAGGAATTAGCTATTTCCCAACACATGCAACATTAGGTAACATGGTAGTGTTTCCAAACAGTGGTGTGCATGACTCTTTTTGGTTTACTTGGTGCTTCCAATTTTAAAGGCTTATATGGCTCATAGTAAACTCAGTGGTTTATAAATATTTGTACAATCCAAATATCTACTATATAAGCAGAGTTTCCACTACAGTGAACTCATGTTATGTGCATTTCAGATAAGTGGGCTGTTGGTTTGCCCCTGAACTGAATGCACAGGTTTAGCACGCACGGATCACGACAGCCCCAAGCCATTGCGTTTTCAGGGGTGGAGTGTATTTTCTCTCTAACCCCTAACCGCTCTCCCTCTGTGATGACCTATAGGAAAACCAGGAGGGTGCCCAGGGCCTGGTGATCAGCGACACAGAGCTCAAGCAGGTGGTCTACGCCTTCAAGTGTAACAACAGCACCCTGCAGATCAAGGGCAAGATAAACTCCATCACTTTAGGTAAGGGCAGACCCATGTTCCTGTGTGTGAGCATGGACAAATTAAAGTAAAAGGTCAACAAAGGGCATTTGTTAATATGGTTCCTTTCTTGCAGACAACTGTAAGAAACTGGGCCTGGTCTTTGATGACGTTGTGGGCATTATAGAGGTTATCAACTGCAGGGACGTCAAGGTCCAGGTGTGTATTTCTAAAATGGATTAATGTGAAAATGGACACTGAAAAGGCCTGGTCATTCCAAGGCAATGACATGGCGATATCACACAACGGTGACAACAGAAGATCATATCAGCTTTTGTCTGATTACCATTTACATATTAAAAGTGTCCAATGTGATTATGTGGATGTGACATTTTACAGATTACTTTGCATGTTTTCCAAACTGTTGTGGCAGTTTTTTTTCCACTGCATATTACCCAACAGATGATTTAGTCATAGTTGATTCACTCTTAAAGATGCACTATGCAGAAATCACTCTGCCATTTCCTGGTTGCTAAAATTCTAATCGTTTTCAGTTTGTGACAAAACGAGCAAGTATAGTGTAGAGAATCATTTTACCATCTAAACCGCTGGTGTACAAAACCAAAAGTAAAAGACACAAAAACAAAACTTGGGGACAGGAAGCATAGAAATAGCGCACACAGAACATATCTACGGCTTCTTAGACTTGCTTTCAATGAGAATGACAGATATATAACTCACATTTATGTGAATTTGGTTGGGTCGCCCAAAAAGTTACATATTGCAGCTTTAACCGTCTCTGGTGTGTTCAGGTCTTGGGCAAGGTGCCCACCATCTCCATCAACAAGACGGACGGTTGCCACGTGTACCTGAGCAAAGATTCGCTGGAGTGTGAGATCGTCAGCGCCAAGAGCTCAGAGATGAACGTGCTGGTACCTGGTAAAGACGGAGACTATGTGAGTACATCTATGGGGGAATTTGGGGCGTCTAGTGGCATTAAATGCAATTATATGACAACATAATAATACATGTTATGTGGACATTTTGTGATGATAAACTTACATTTCTCCTTTGTCTCTCTCTTAGACTGAGATCCCTGTTCCTGAGCAGTTCAAGACTGTCTGGGATGGCAAGAAGCTTGTCACCACTTGTACAGAGATCGCTGGATAGAGGGGCAGTGCTCGAAACCGCCTCCCCTTTGCAAATGCCTACCTGACTGATCGACCGACCAACCAGCTAACCAAACCACAAAGTAGACTGAGATGCCAACCTCACCCATATTTTTCCTATCTGCCAATCGCAGCTTTAGCTGTTTCTTCCTTCAGCCAATGAGAGGACTGCTTGCTTTATCTGGAGCTTTCCTTCAGCCAATTGCAGGGAGCAGCGTGTTATTTGATTTGGTTATCCTCATGGCCAGTGAGCGCATTCAAATGAGTTTGCCAACAACCAGGATAATTTCTGATTTGATCTGTACATTCCAGCAAATGATAAATAAACATAATAGGGAATGTGAGGGAGCAAGGCTTTTTATCACACCTTCTCTGTGGTTTTAAATCCTAAGCCAATCAGGCTATGTTTCCTTCAACCAATCATTAATAGGGTTTCCATTTCCCCTCTGGTCAGGGGGGGGCAGGTGTTTAGGGGTCCAAGGTTTCAGTTTCATTTATGCAATTCAGCCGTGAAGCACATGTACAACCAACCCCTCTTTACAGACGACAATGCTATCACTTCTGACTTTGACGATGTTATTAACATTTCATAGGGATTGATTAACTATAACACATTTGTCATCGCTCTTAAATCGGTGAAATGACAAGTTACGTGCAGGATCACTGTCTTAAAAAAAAAAAAATATATACCACTGAATCAAAATGATGAAAAAAATATTGAAATATAAAAAGTTTTATTCCCAAGACACATGGCACATTCCCTTTAGCATTTTAAATGAACATTCCATATTATTGAGACATATGGAGGTGAACGGTGGCAAAGAAAGAGGGAGAATGATGTGGAAGTATGTGGTGAGTGACTTCACTTTGGCACAAACTGGAAGTGAAAGTGGTTCTTGAGATAGACGAGGCGTTAACGTACTCTTGAAGAATCATTAATGGCTAAGTTTGGGGTTGCCTCTCTTAAGCTCTGAATGATTATTGGACTGTTGTAATGATCTGTATAGACATTGCTTTTTAATGCTAGAGTTGTCTTAACCCCACTGTCTCCATCACCTTCACATCAACCCACCTATCCACTCTTGTCTAGTCTACTACATCTGTGGTTATCCTGTTGTAGTTGTCATGCTCTGTGGAGTTTCTTTTACCTCTTTATTTAGGTCAAGAATCAACATTTTGCTCATTAGTACTGGAGGAAGACAAAAGTTGCAATAAAATAATTATAAGAAGTCGTAGTCTTTTGAGTCTGTTCAGAGTATGGTTATGTGATTATTGAAGAAATGGACAATGTGGGTGATATTTCTCCATGCTTCATGGACAGTAAGAGCAGGCTAAATATGGGATGAAGAGGGGGGATTTGTATGATGTGCCCTTACATTTGGCAAATTTTCCCAAAGAGTCATTGTTGACCATTTTTCACAAGGAGAGCTGGGTAAATGGTGACATTAACGATAATAATTAGCCCAGTTCAGAACCAGTGATTTCCTAACATATCATTAGTTCTGTTATTTACCATTACACACACTACTTGCAAAGGAAAACTCCCACCACCCTTTAAGTTTTATAACTTTCATTTTTATTCCAAAATACAGTGCTAAACAAAAATTATCCTCAAATTTAAACTAAAGGATATCTCCCAATTAGACCACCATGCATCTCTGGTAGTACGTTAACTGGGCAAAACATGGTTTTTAAAATCATAAGAAATGGTGCATTATTAGATTAAACAGGATGGTATCGATATGATAGGAATGATCAGTGCAACTCGAATGTCAACAGAGCGTAGGTAGCTAGGTGTATTTAGCGCAGGTAAGGCACTAGTTTGGCTTTGAACCACTGCCTGGTGAACTGGAGGTGATCTCCTTCTGTACCCAGGAAATCCAGCTTTCCAGCTGCCTCCATTGCTGCCAGTCCCAGACGATCCTGAAAACAGATTCCATTTATCAATACAATATCACATTCATTACAATGAGTCAAATAAATGAAAAAACACAACATGACCAAAAGTATGTGGACACCTGCTTGTCAAACATCTCATTCCAAAACCATGAGCATTAATATGGAGTCGGTCACCACTTTGCTGCTATAACAGCCTCCACTCTTCTGGGAAGGCTTTCTACTAGATGTTGGAACATGGCTGTGGGGACTTGCTTCCATTCAGCCACAAGCATTAGTGAGGTCGGGCACTGATGTTGGGCAATTAGTCCAATTCATCCCAAAGGTGTTCGATGGGGTTGAGGTCAGGGCTCTGTGCAGGCCAGTCAAGTTCTTCCTAACTGACCTCGACAAATCATTTCTGTATGGACTTTGCTTTATGCATGGGGTATTGTCATGCTGAAACAGGAAAGGGCCTTCCACAAACTGTTGCCACAAAGTTGGAAGTACAGAATCGTCTACAATGTCATTCTATGCTGATTTCCCTTCACTGAAACTAAGGGGCCTAGCCTGAACCATGAAGAACAGCCCCAGACCATTATTCCTCCTCCACCAAACTTTACAGTTGGCACTATGCTTTGGGGCAGGTAGCGTTCTCCTGGCATCTGCCAAACCCAGATTCGTCCATTGGACTGCCAGATGGTGAAGCGTGATTCATCACTCCAGAGAACGCGTTTCCACTGCTCCAGAGGCCAATGGCGGCGAGCTTTACACCACTCCAGCCGACGCTTGGCATTGCGCATGGTGATCTAAGGCTTTTGTGCGGCTGCTCGGCCATGGAAACCCATTTCATGAAGCTCCCGACGAACAGTTATTGTGCTGACGTTGCTTCCAGAGGCAGTTTGGAACTCGGTAGTGAGTGTTGCAACCGAGGACAGGCGATTTTTACGCGCTACGTGCTTCAGCACTCGGTGGCCCCGTTCTGTGAGCTTGTGTGGCCTACCACTTCGCGTCTGAGCCATTGTTGCTCCTAGACATTTCCACTTCACAATAATAGCACTTACAGTTGACCGGGGCAGCTCTAGCAGGGCAGAAATTTGACAAACTGACTTGGTGGAAAGGTGGCAACCTATGACGGTGCCACGTTGAAAGTCACTGAGCTCTTCAGTAAGGCCATTCTACTGCCAATGTTTGTCTATGGTGACTGCATGGCTGTGTGCTCGATTTTATACACCTGTCAGCAATGGGTGTGCTGAAATAGCCGAATCCACCCATTTGAAGGGGTGTCCACATACTTTTGTATATATAGTGTACATGTCTGTGTTTGAAGATGAGTAAACATTATGGGGTTTTACCTCTTTATAGAGTACACTCTCCTGAAGGGTTTCGGTCTCTTTTGCCTGACCCGTTTTCAGAAAACCAAACCACTATAACAAAGAGATTGCATACAAAATATATATTGTCCATTAGCATCAGTAATTACAGTGTAGGAGGAGGACAGTACATCAAGACAGGTTGTCACATTGTGTCCAGTATTTACCTCAGTGTCAACTGGATCCACAATACTGTCTTGCAAGAACTTGACCATCACAAACTTGTCCAGCAGCTGGAGGTTCTTCTTGTAGGTCTCGTTCACCACCTGTGGGGTGAAATGCAGCAGATGAATTGAATGGAATTGAATTGGAATACAGTTATGGAGAGTTCTCAGGAGAATATTGAATATAAACAGCACTGTATGAACAATCAAATAACAACATCTGATTCTGAAAATATATACTAGCACCACACTAACCCGCTCCTGATTAATATCAGCCAGGAAGAGGCTGTGTTTTTTGTACAGTTCGTCGTTCAGTGGGTCATGCCAGTACTGTGCCTGCACCAAGCTGATAAAGACACAAGGATTCCAAATGAGTCACTAGATAACAACCACACAATACACAAAGCACTTTCTCTTTGTCTATTCTTTGCACCTCCTCTCAAAACGTACAGTAACTATGTCATAACATACTGTTTCTCTAGGTATTGCTGATTAGTCTCAAACATAACAATTGCCCTCTGAATGAGTTGTAAATAAAGTCTACACTCACTGTTTTTTACTTGTAAATAAAGTCTACACTCACTGTTTTTGCACGATATCGGTGTAGGCTCCTGAGTTGAGTTTCTTGCGAAACCAGTCACAGATATGGGAGCTCGCTCCAGGGCATTTAGGGAGACCATACACCCCTGCGAATGTGGAGAATAGGATAATTACAAAACTGTCAGGAAGTGAAGGAAAGACAATGGCGCTGAAAAGAGACAAGGCAAGGGATTATGTCACTGTTGCCATGGTGCCGTTACCTTGTTGTTGTCCCCCAACAGAGATCAGGGTTTTCATTGGAGGAGATGGACAGCGCTGCGCCACTGCCCTCCTGGGGGGTAAAAGAGGTGGAAAGGCGAAGAACTGAGAATTACAGCTTCTTGTCTCGTGTATAAAGTACATTCATCCTCTTACCAGGGATGGGCAACTCCGGTCCTTGAGGACTGCAGTTTCTGCAGGCTTTTGTTCCACCTCAGCTCTAAGACACCTGATTTAACTACATTGGTTGAATAAGTGTGGAAGTGTTGGGCTGGAATCTGCAAATACTGCAGCTCTCATTCATGTAAAAAAACACATTCAAAAAGCATTCTGAGAGGCTTTGTGAGTACGGGCCCAGAGACACTACTTACAGGAACTGCCCTCCCTGAGAGAAGCCCATGGCATTGTAGCCATCCTTCAGCTTGGGATCCTGAGCCAGCTGGCTGCACACCATGGACACCTGCTCATTGACGTCCATGAAGAAACCATTCTCTGTGTCCTGAGGGGTAGATATGAGGCAAGGAAGTTCATGTTGGGACAGTAACAATGTTGACAAGCAGAGAAACACCACATCTCAAAAGATAGGTCAGGGGTGAGTGATTTTGGCCTGCAAGGGCTGTACCTAGTCAGTTGGCCAACTGAATGCATTCAACTGAAATGTTTCTTGAAATGTGTCTTCCGCATTTAATCTTAATCGATGTCATCGGCGCCCAGGGAGCAGTTATCGTTCGGGGTTAACTGCCTTGCTCAAGGGCAGAACGGCCTTGCTCAAGGGCAGAACGGCAGATTTTTCCACCTTGCCAGCTCGGGGATTCGAAACAGCAACCTTTCGGCTACTGGCCCAACACCCTTAACCGCTAAGCTACTTGCAGTAATACACCTAACTCTACTAATTAAATTCAATCAAAGCTTTCATTAGTAGAATCAGGTGTGTTACTGCTTGGATGGAGCAAAGGCAAGCATTCACACCGGTCACCACAGGGTATGGCTGTCCACCACTGAGATTGGAAAGTACCTGACTGACAGTCTTGCCTATCATCAGTGACAGGACGTCAATTCCAGGGATCGTTTCCTCGATCATCTTCTTTATGGAGCCCATGCTGAGAGGGTTGCAACAGCTGTCTCCTGTGTACAAACAGAAACAAGAACACAGAGTCTCTATATGAAGAGTTTATTCCAAAACGCTATACAGTGCCTTCAGAAAGTATTCAGACCTCTTGACTTTTTCCACATTTTGTTACATTACAGCCTTTTTCTGAAATTGATTTAAATGTTTTTTTCCCCTCATCAATCTACACACAATACCCCATAATGACAAAGCAAAAACAGGTTTAGAAATGTTTGCTAATTTACTAAATTAAAAAACGGAAATATTACATTTACATAAGTATTCAGCCCTTTACTCAGTACTTTGTTGAAGCACCTTTGGCAGCAATTGCAGCCTGGAGTGTTCTTGGGTTTGACGCTACAAGCTTGACACACCTATTTTTGGGGAGTTTCTCCCATTCTTCTTTGCAGATCCTCTCAAGCTCTGTCAGGTTGGATGGGGAGCATTGCTGCACAGCTATTTTCAGGTCTCTCCAGAGATGTTCGATCGGGTTCAAGTCCGGGCTCTGGCTGGGCCACTCAAGGACATTCAGAGACTTGTCCCGAAGCCACTCCTGCGTCGTCTTGGCTGTGTGCTTAGGGTCTTTGTCCTGTTGGAAGATGAACCTTCGCCCCAGTCTGAGGTCCGGAGCGATCTGGACCAGGTTTTCATCAAGGATCTCTCTATACTTTGCTCCGTTCATATTTGCTTCAATCCTGACTAGTCTCCCAGTCCCTGCCGCTGAAAAACATCCCCACATCATGATGCTGCCACCACCATGCTTCACCGTAGGCATGGTGCCAGGTTTCCTCCAGACATGACGCTTGGCATTCAGGCCAAAGAGTTCAATCTTGGTTTCATCAGACCAGAGAATCTTGTTTCTCATGGTCTGAGAGTCTTTAGGTGCCTTTTGGCAAACTCCAAGTGGGCTGTCATGTGCCTTTTACTGAGGGGTGGCTTCCATCTGGCCACTCTACCATAAAGGCCTGATTGGTGGAGTGCTGCAGAGATGGTTGTCCTTCTGGAAGGTTCTCCCATCTCCACAGAGGAACTCTAGAGCTCTGTCAGTGTGACCATCGGGTTCTTGGTCACCTCCCTGACCAAGGCCCTTCTCCCCCGATTGCTCAGTTTGGCCTGGCGGCCAGCTCTAGGAAGAGTCTTGGTGGTTCCAAACTTCTTCCACTGTGTTCTTGGGGACCTTCAATGCTCCAGAAATATGTTGGTACCCTTCCCCAGATCTGTGCCTCGACACAATCCTGTCTCGGAGCTCTATGGACAATTCCTTCGACCTCATGGCTTGGTTTTTGCTCTGACATGCACTGTCAACTCTGTGACCTTATATAGACAGGTGTGTGCCTTTCCAAATCATGTCCAATCAATTGAATTTACCACAGGTGGACTCCAATCAAGTTGTAGAAACATATCAAGGATGATCAATGGAAACAGGATGCACCTAAGCTCAATTTCGAGTCTCATCGCAAAGGGTCTGAATACTTATGTAAATAAGGTATTTCTGTTTTTTATTTGTAATACATTTGCAAAGATTTCTAAAAAACTGTTTCACTTTGTCATTATGGGGTATTGTGTGTAGATTTCTGAGATTTTTATTTATTTAATCCATTTTAGAATAAGGCTGTAACGTAACAAAATGTGGAAAAAGGGAAGGGGTCTGAATACTTTCCGAAGGCGCTGTATATCCGTTTTCAGAGTTGTTGGTAAATTAGCTTTTATTGTTTCAAGAAATTATGAAAGAGGTTGGTGTGTTTTTTCACTATCTAATCATTGCATGGTGTTGTTCAATGACAGACATGTATTTGTTTAAAATCTATCATTTGATGAGACAAATAATTGTGTTTTTTGCTAAATGCTATATATCCGCCTCACTCTCAGAGAAATAAGTAGTACTGCTAGGTTTTACACAGTCAAATGTAACAAATAACTATTTATTTTTTATAAAGAACTGTACAAATGATACATTGATGATACAAATGATACATTTGTGACATCAATAAAAAATAAAAATAAATTGTATTTATTATTCAATACAGTAATACGAGCCTGTACGTAAAACATTTATATTTGACATTTTAGTCATTTAGCAGATGCTCTTATCCAGAGAGACTTACAGTAAGTGCATTCATCTTAAGATAGCTAGGTGAGACAACCACATATCAATGTCAAATATACAGGATACGAACATTCCATTCCAGCTTAACAATGGATATATAGCGTTTTGCAAAAAACAACTAATTTTCATGCACATCTAAAATGTATTAACCTAAAATCTGAGAACAGTCATATTTTACACACACATGAAGGTAACCATAAGCAATAATTTCTGATGAAAAAACACAAATGTGAAAAATTGGTTGATATAAAGTTTTGGAAATAAACTCTTCATATACACTAACTGCCATAGCATGACTTATCTAAGGGCCACAGGCAAATATAGGAAGTGGCCATCACTTCCTTGTTTTGCTACTCTTCCAAACTGAGAAATGCAATTGCTGTATGTGAAAACAAGATGTTGTAGTATTATGCATCTCAAGTGCTTACCCATTCCGTGCCAGAGAACCAATGGGAGGGTGGCGTTGTCTGATCCATGTACTGGGCTTAGGACAAGTAGCAGCAATGGACCAGCCCCGAGGAGCAAGCTAAGTGTGGTCATCTTGAACCCTGAAATCAATGTAACGAAGATGTAACGAAGAGGATCAGACAGTAAACAACAGTTGGTGCACAAAATCTAACACTAGGAAGTCTCGAGGTTTTGCTCGCCTGAGGTAGAGTATCTTATGATAAGCTGTAGACCACACTATTTACCAAGAGACTTTTCATCTATATTTTTCATAGCTGTCTATCTACCACCACAAACCGATGCTGGCACTAAGATTGCACTCAATGAGCTGTATAAGGCCATAAGTAAACAGGAAAATGCTCATCCAGAGGCAGCGCTCCTAGTGGCCGGGGACTTTAATGCAGGGAAACTTAAATCCGTTCTACCTAATTTCAACCAGCATATTTAATGTGCAACCTGACGGAAATAAACTCTAGACCACCTTTACTCCACACACAGAGATGCATACAAAGCTCTCCCTCGCCCTCCATTTGGCAAATCTGACCATAACTCTATCCTCCTGATTCCTGCTTATAAGCAAAAACTAAAGCAGGAAGCACCAGTGACTCGGTTAATAAAAATGTGGTCAGATGATGCAGATGCTAAGCTACAGGACTGTTTTGCTAGCACAGACTGGAATATGTTACGGGATTCTTCAGATAGCATTGAGGAGTACACCACATCAGTCACTGGCTTCATCAATAAGTGCATTGATGAAGTCATCCCCACAGTGACCATACGTACATACCCCAACCGGAAGCCAAGGTTTACAGGCAACATCTGCACTGAGCTAAAGGGTAGAGCTGCCGCTTTCAAGGAGCGGGACTCTAACACGGACGCTTATAAGAAATCCTGCTATGCCCTCCGACGAACCATCAAACAGGCAAAGAGTCAATACTGGACTAAGATTGAATCGTACTACACCGGCTCTGACACTCGTCGGATGTGGCAGGGCTTGAAAACTATTACAGACTACAAAAGGAAGCACAGCCGCGAGCTGCCCAGTGACACAAGCCTACCAGACAAGCTAAATCACTTCTATGCTCGCTTCGAGGCAAGCAACACTGAAGCATGCATGAGAGCACCAGCTGTTCCGGATGACTATGTGATCACGCTCTCCGTAACCGATGTGAGTAATACTTTTAAGCAGGTCAACATTCACAAGGCCGCAGGGCCAGACGGATTACCAGGACGTTTACTCCGAGCATGTGCTGACCAACTGGCAAGTGTCTTCACCGACATTTTCAACGTGTCCCTGACTGAGTCTGTAATACCAACATCTTTCAAGCAGACCACCATAGTCCCTGTGCCCAAGGAAACTAAGATAATCTGTCTAAATGACTATTGCCCCATAGCACTCACGTCTGTAGCCAAGAAGTGCTTTGAAAGGCTGGGTCATGGCTCACATCAACACCATTATCCCAGAAACCCTAGACCCACTCAAATTTGCATACCACCTCAACAGATCCACAGATGATGCAATCTCTATTGCACTCCACACTGCCCTTTCCCACCTGGACAAGAGGAACACCTACGTGAGAATGCTGTTCATTGACTACAGCTCAGCGTTCAACACCATAGTGCCCTCAAAGCTCATCACTAAGCTAAGGATCCTGGGACTAAACACCTCCCTCTGCAACTGGATCCTGGACTTCCTGTCGGGCCGTCCCCATGTGGTAAGGGTAGGTAACAACACATCTGCCACGCTGATCCTCAACACGGGGGCCCCTCAGGGGTGCGTGCTCAGTCCCTTCCTGTACTCCCTGTTCAGAAAGATGTGGCATGGGTCCTCAGATCCTCAAAAAGTTTGACAGCTGCACCATCGAGAGCATCCTGACTGGTTGCATCACCGCCTGGTATGGCAACTGCTTGGCCTCCGACCGCAAGGCACTACAGAGGGTAGGGCGTACGGCCCAGTACATCACTGGGGCCAAGCTTCCTGCCATCCAGGACCTCTATACCAGGCGGTGTCAGAGGAAGGCCCTCAAAATTGTCAAAGACTCCAGCCACCCTAGTCATAGACTGTTCTCTCTGCTACCGCATGGCAAGCGGTACCGGAGCGCCAAGTCTAGGTCCAAAAGGATTCTCAGCAGCTTCTACCCCCAAGCCATAAGACTCCTGAACAGCTAATCATTGCTACCCGGACTATTTGCACTGCCCCCCCCCCCCCCCACCCACCCACCCACCCCCCTCTTTTACACTGCTGCTACTCTGTCTATTATTTATGCATAGTCACTTTATCTCTACCCACATGTACATATTACCTCAATTACCTCGACTAGCAGGTGCCCCCGTCCATTGACTCTGCACCAGTACCCCCCTGTATATAGCCTCCCTACTGTTATTTTATTATACTGCTGCTCTTTAGTTGTTTGCTTTTATTTTTTTTACTTAACACTTTCAAAACAAAAAAAATCTTTAAAAATGGCATTGTTGGTTAAGGGCTTTTAAGTAAGCATTTATAATAATAAATAATATAATATTCCATTTAGCAGCCACTTTTATCCAAAGCGACTTACAGTCATGCGTGCATACATTTTTTGTGTATGGGTGGTCCACTGTAACGTCTACACCTGTTGTATTCGGCGCATGTGGCAAATAACATTTGATTTGAGTTAGTGAACTAAGGATCCAACAGGGAAGTGAGTGGGACGTTATTAGCTGGTTGTGTTCAAAGGCACAATCTGTAATTTCAACAATCTGGACCTGCCACTTTGTTTTTTAAACTGAGTGATGGGGCTGGGGAAATGTATCTTCTCTCAGATGCATAGCATAGCAGTGAATGCAAGGACTGAACGATAGTGCCTTTAAAGCTGCGATTCTTGTTTTCAAATCATGGAATATGGCTGTGTGAGCTTCACAAAAACATAACAAAGCCAGAATAAACAACCATTACCCATTTTCCCAAAAAGGTCTGACTCTGAGTCTATGACATCTTTGAATTTACTGTGTGGCTAGTAGCTACCTTTCATAACAAACCAGTTAGCCAAGTAAGCTAACGTTATCACGCTAGCTTCCCAAAATGTGGGAAACTAGTTGTATCACTCCCTCCATGAAATACACGACGCCGCTGTTCTGGTTACTGACGGATTTATTCTTCTACTAAATTCTCCACCGTCATCAATCCACCGTCGAACTGTTTAAATACATTTCAACACGTGCACAAAAAACAAGTTGGCGTTCACGTTACAGAAACCTTGCACGTGCGCGACAAATAATTAACATAATGAACATACCTCGCTGGCTGCACACAACTGAGAGGGAAATGGGTCCACTTAGAAACAAGAATACTTGTAAATAAACACGTTGTTAATTTAACTTATCTTTCAGAGTACTAAACTTTACCGCCGCTACTTTACCGCGATGTCTGGAACTTGTCACCACTAAAAGCGTCCCAACACAACATAGAATGTACAGATAGTTCCTATCACATAAATACAAGCAAAATCAATATTCAAAATACAAGTTGTACAAATAATAATGATATTATGTAAAACCTATTAATAATTACATGAATAACATTAATAATGACATGAATAACATTTATGGCAGTTAAAAGTTGGCTAGCTATGTTACTTTGCTACGGTAGACAACATTATTTTCCTAGCTTGATAGTTGCAATGTCTACATTTCTGGCTAGTCATGATTCACTGAAAAAACGGAAACTATAAATATTTGCTGGGCAAAAACTACCACTTACTGTTCAGGACTTGGGAAATAACCACAGATTTCCAAATCATATGGAGCAGCTTGTCGCGCGCTGTATAAATTAGCTGCGTTTATCTTGTGTTGTAGACTTCACTGCAAATTCAAATATACAGTCTTGACGGAAATTCATAAGCGCGTCACAGAATAAAAAAATATTTTGGGTCATGTGACCAGAATCGTAAACATTCACAGCACTCTCACAACACTGTTGTTACATTCGCTCTGCCGGGTAGAATGGCTGTAAGGCAAAACTTGGAGTTCTTTACACATTAAATACAACAGGTGCAACGATGCTCGGGACGAACCATAGAGCCTCGCCTGAAGAGTCCCTTTGTTCTAGGTAAGTTTGCTCTATAACTCAAATTCAACAATTATACATTAGCATCTGACAGCTGTACTATTCTGGATCGAATTCTGAGACCTGGCTATCTGTTCTTGTTGTGTACCACTGTGACCAGCTGTTTCAAGTTAAGGTTTCGTTTCACAAGTACATGAATGACTGACTGCTTATAAAGCCTCCAGTGGTGTAATAACATGAGTGTAGTTAGAACCCGTAAAAGCCTAAAAAAATCCTACATTCCTGTAAGTCTGTCATGTAAAATAAACGGAACGATAAGTTGTCATGTTTGAAAAATCTATGCACTCACTAACTGTAAGTCGCTCTGGATAAGAGCGTCTGCTAAATGACTAAAAATGTTTAAAAATATATATAAATGTAAAAAATGTAGTCCCGTGTAGCTCAGTTGGTAGAGCATGGTGCTTGCAACGCCAGGGTTGTGGGTTCGATTCCCACGGGGGGCCAGTATGAAAAAATTAAAATAAAAATAATGTATGCACTCACTAACTGTAAGTCGCTCTGGATAAGAGCGTCTGCTAAATGACTAATACAAATAAATATAAATAAATAAAATGTAGTGAGGCTATGGGATGGGAAATACCCTTAAGTTATGGGGAACAGGTTGTATTTCAAATCCCCGTTTCCAAATCTAATGTCAGATAATGGAGAAGTTATGATTGAAAGAAGACGCAGAGCGTTACTAAAAACACACATACTTATTGTACTAACTTTGGGAGAAGTGAACTTTACAGTAAACACGCACACATTTACATTCACATTTACATAAGATAGCAGACGCTCTTATCCAGAGCGACTTACAAATTGGTGCATTCAACTTATGATAGCCAGTAAACACACACGCACATAAACACGCACATACACACATACCAATGCACATCGATTTTTGAGTCTGTCCATGTGTAATGGGAATTTCTTGGTGAACATAAAGGAGAGATGTAATTGATCATATCAATCAAAATCATTTTGGTTTGATTACAAGTTGCAACAGGGAGACGCCTCCAGCACACAAGCAGAGAAAATGTCTAACATGCCTCTTGGAGACAGGCCTGTTATATTCTAATCAGACAGCACCAAGTGTGCTGTAAACACCAGCCCGAGAGGCTTGTACGAAGTCAAAACAAAAGACAGTGACTTTGCCAGCAGCTACAGAATCATACAGTGTGCATAATGTCGTCAATACTGTAATAATCAGTGTGTCCTCCGTTCTTGTGCCTTCAGTAGCTCTGGCGTCAATCACTATCAAATTATATGAGAAGAATCCATAACACTGAGTAACAAATGTAGTGACCATCAACTCTTTAAAAAATGTGTCACAAATAGAACACTGGTAATCATATGTATTACAGAACAGGAAAAACATATACATATGCTAAGCATTGTGTTAATCACTCTAAAGTGAATAAGAACTTTATTCACCTTAAATTTCCCCACTACACCATGTCAAGAGGCATTACATTATGTCATTCTATTCCACCCCCCTCATCAGCTGAACTGCGTAACATATATTATCTGTTCCTCCAATGGTAACCTGTGAAAGTTTTATTCGTCAGCAGATACACTAGGATCACATCTGCTTTTGGTCAGTCTGCACATGTTACAGTCAGAGTGGAGGAGAGGCCAAGGCTACTGGTTTATTTCATTAGTGGACAGACCTCTATTCTGAGATCAGATTTATTGCGTACTACTTGTCCAGCTCTAAAAATCATGCTTCTGTGACTGACTTTAAATAGGCCATAACTCACCAGCCAGCGTAATACTATTTGGAGCATCATCTGCAGAAGAAGAACGTATGTATGATGCTCTCAAGTCCTATGATCTAGGTCTAGAACCTCAATAACAACAAGTGAGTAACTTTCTGGTCCAACCAGTCCAACTTGTGGTAATTGGTCAAACCTTTTTCTCTATCTAAACATTCCTCAATATAAAGAGCAAAGCCTAATGTTATAATACCGGTACATGTCTATGTTGGATCTCTTTGACTTAGTCAGGTGTTTTGTAATTGTTGCACAATCTGCCATGGATTTTTTAAAAGTCAGTAAGTTGTTATCGTCTGTCTATTGTAGCTAAAGAACTCAATGCTGTTGTCTTGGCATGCTGGGTCAATTACATTGAACACCATAAGGACCATTGACCTGTCTAGTCATGGTCATTATCATATCCAGCCTGTATCTGTAGTCTGTAGTCTTAACACGTCCGTATGTATGTGTGTGTGTGCGTGTGCGTGCATGAGACTGAATGTCTAGCAATTTTTCATGCTGACTCTAGCTCTTTCTCTAGGTGACCTCAGATCACACACACCTCATTCCTCTCTCTGGCTGTCACCTGACTGGTGGTTGCAATGGCTTTACAAAATGGATACTCCATCAACTCCTCCCCACTGGACGAGAGTGGAGAGGCCACACCCCTACTTAAAAAAGAAGTGGTGGACGTTGATGATTCAGGTGTCTTAACTTGTTTTGGTTGCTCTTTTGCGTAGTCAGCACTCAGCAGCATGGATGTGCTAGTAGTGCTTCATTATGTAATGATAACCTTATGATAGTTGAATGAAGTCATATCAAGTGTTTGTCAGTATGGGGCATTGATGTCAATGGGTGACTAAGTGAAAATTTGACCTACGGGAAATTCGGATTCGCCCCTATGATTTTGCTTATTACATCATAACTAACACTGTGCTAGTGAAATAGGTCATTTAAGTGTCAAGTGCTCCTCGTTTGCTAGTGTAGATGTACTACTAGCACTGTCTAAACAGTAATCTTTAAGTCTCAAGTGTTTTCAGATAGACTGTGAGGTGTGATTGTGCACTTGTTGTCATCATGTCTAACAGTACCTCCACAATGTTGCTCTGCACGCTGCAATCTGGCCATCATGATGTTCTTTGGATTCTCCGTTGTCTACGGTCTCCGTGTCAATCTAAGTGTTGCCATGGTCGCCATGGTCAATGGGACCAATAGCCAACCATCTCTCAACAGCTCAGGTGGCCATGAGTGCCCAGTGTCCTCCCACGGGTACGACAATGGCAGCCAAACACCAGACCAACCAGACGGGGTAAGTACCAGCTCTTCCAAAGTATCCACAACTAGACCTATAGTAGTATACTGTACATGCATATTATAGCATATATTATAAACTGGGTGGTTCGAGCCCTGAATGCTGATTGGCTGACAGCCGTGATATATCAGACCGAATACCACTGGTATGACAAAACATTTATTTTTACTTCTCTAATTACATTGGTAACCAGTTTATAATAGCAATAAGACACCTCGGAGGTTTGTGATATATGGCCAAAATACCACGGCAAAGGGCTGTGTCCAGGCACTCCGTGTTGCGTCGCGCATAAGAACAGCCCAGAGCAGTGGTATTTTGGCCATATACCAAAACCCCCTCGGGCCTTATCGCTTAAATATAGCTAATCTATTACAGTACGTAAATAGGCTTCACACAAACATGATGCATGCATACCGGACATACTGCGCATGCTAAGACACTCACAAACTCATATGTAACACTAATGCTCATTTATCTATCTCTCTCTCTTTCTCTTCTCTCGCTCTCTCAGATACCTCAGTACTCGTGGGATTCTTCGACTCAGGGCATGCTGCTGGGGGCCTTCTTCTTTGGCTACCTGGTGACGCAGATCCCCGGGGGTTACCTGGCCGGACACTTTGGGGGGAGTATCTTCCTGGGGGGAGGGGTGCTGGGCACCGCAGCCCTCACCCTCCTCACCCCCCTGGCAGCCCAGCTAGGACCCTACTGGCTGTTTGGTTTACGGGCACTGGAGGGATTTGGGGAGGTAAGAGGCTTCATGTGTGCAGAGTAGGGATCAATCTCGTTCTGTTATCAGCTTTGAACAGGATTAGCATTTGATTGTATAAACAACTGTATTTATGGTATGCATATAGCCAAATTGTCATAATTTTCTGTAAAACACCAAGGTAAATTGTTCATTTCAGTGACATAAGAATGGTTCATTTAAATCAGTGAGTATCGCTCTGGGTTTGTGTGTCCTCAGGGGGTGACGTTCCCGGCCATGATGGCCATGTGGGCTTGCTGGGCTCCCCCTCTAGAGAGGTCTCGTCTTATGACCCTGTCGGGGTCAGGGGCCAACTTTGGGGCCTTTGTAGCCCTGCCCCTCACCGGCTTCATCTGTCACAGTCTGGGCTGGCCCGCTGTCTTCTACATGTGTGGTGAGAGTTGGATAGCAATTACACCCCTCAAACATATACATTCATTACACACCTCAAACATATACATTCCTCCCTACACATACCATATCTGCATTTCTCTGCATACCCAACATTTCAGCTCTTATTTTGTTCTCTTGTGAAGTTTTCACACACATTATACTTTCCCATTTTTTATATCATTCACAATTCTTCTCTGCACACTCTCTTGTTCAGCACAAACACTATACCTGCACAACCTCTTGCTTTGTAAAGATGTCAACAGAATCAGGCTTTTTTCTCACTGTCCCTCTGTCTCTCTCTGCCTCTGTCTCTCTCTCTGTCCCTCTGTTTCTCTCTGCCTCTGTCTTTCTCGCTGTCCCTCTTTCTCTCGTCACCAGGGGTTGCTGGTTGCATTTGGGCAGTGTTCTGGTTCATTCTGGTGTCGGACCAGCCTGGCACTCATCCACGAATCAGCACAAGAGAAAAATATTACATCATCAACTCCATAGGAAAAGAGGTAAGAACATTCTATCTGTGGTGTCCTTAATGACCCTTTGTCATACATTTGTAAATCGGTTCACAATCAATCCCCTTTCTCTCTCTCTTTCTCTAACTCTCTATCTCCTCTCTCTCTCTGCATCCTAACCCAGGGTGGTTCCCATGGCTGGTCAGTGCCTTTGTTACCCATGATGCTCTCTGTTCCCCTGTGGGCCATCATAGTGTCTCAGATGTGTGCCAACTGGGGTTATTACACTCTGCTCACCTCACTACCCACCTACATGGACACGGTGCTTCACTTTGACCTCCAACAGGTGAGACCCAAAGAAATCATATATTAAGTGATACATCATTGATATATATGGACATATGATTTCTATGGGTGACGCCAGAAGAGGAGAGAGACAGAGTAAGATACTTAATTCCAGAGTGCTGTAAAGACCAGATAGGTATAGAAAATATGGTAAGAGCTCCATCTGGTGTTATTAGGCTATGTAGGTAGAGTGTTGCCATATTTCTTACACAAGTGCATATATAGGTGGTAGGACTAGAGAATGACTAAGATTTAGTGTCGTATCAGTATATCACAGTGTACAGGGATAGAACAGGAGTCTCTAGACTTGAATCATGTTGTGTTATTACCTAGGCCTATACTGTGCTGCTGTAGCATTGCTTTAATAAAACATTGGTGAAAGTGATGCCATCTTATCTGGATATTTTATTCCTGCAATGTAGTTGCAATCATTTCTGTTGGTGTTTTTGTTGTTGGTTAATATTGTCTATTTCTTTCTGACTCTCTGTATAGAATGCCTTTCTCTCAGCTCTGCCCTTTCTGGGTGGCTGGGCCTTCTCAGTGATATCAGGTGTAGTAGCAGACAGCCTCCTGGAGAAGGAGCTGTTGAGCGTCACAGCGGTCCGCAAGATCTTCACTATCACAGGCAAGGAGGGGACTTTTATTTTGAAAGGAATTGGTCTTGGTTACTTATGGACTTTACCAGATGTTCGATTGATTGGCTGGTAAAACGTACAAATGTTTGCAACAGGGATTCTTTGGATGTTATTTCATGCAGTGGATATTTTAGTCTTTAGTAATATGTTTTATAACAGAATAGGAACTAATAGAATATTACATTTTAGTCATGAAGAAGACGCTCTTATCCAGAGCGACTTACAGTTAGAGTATCACATACAGTGGGGGAAAAAAGTATTTAGTCAGCCACCAATTGTGCAAGTTCTCCCACTTAAAAAGATGAGAGGCCTGTAATTTTCATCATAGGTACACGTCAACTATGACAGACAAAATGAGAAAAAAAAATCACATTGTAGGATATTTAATGAATTTATTTGCAAATTATGGTCACCTACAAACAAGCAAGATTTCTGGCTCTCACAGACCTGTAACTTCTTCTTTAAGAGGCTCCTCTGTCCTCCACTCGTTACCTGTATTAATGGCACCTGTTTGAACTTGTTATCAGTATAAAAGACACCTGTCCACAACCTCAAACAGTCACACTCCAAACTCCACTATGGCCAAGACCAAAGAGCTGTCAAAGGACACCAAAAACAAAATTGTAGACCTGCACCAGGCTGGGAAGACTGAATCTGCAATAGGTAAGCAGCTTGGTTTGAAGAAATCAACTGTGGGAGCAATTATTAGGAAATGGAAGACATACAAGACCACTGATAATCTCCCTCGATCTGGGGCTCCACGCAAGATCTCACCCCGTGGGGTCAAAATGATCACAAGAACAGTGAGCAAAAATCCCAGAACCACACGGGGGGACCTAGTGAATGACCTGCAGAGAGCTGGGACCAAAGTAACAAAGCCTACCATCAGTAACACACTACGCCGCCAGGGACTCAAATCCTGCAGTGCCAGACGTGTCCCCCTGCTTAAGCCAGTACATGTCCAGGCCCGTCTGAAGTTTGCTAGAGTGCATTTGGATGATCCAGAAGATGATTGGGAGAATGTCATATGGTCAGATGAAACCAAAATAGAACTTTTTGGTAAAAACTCAACTCGTCGTGTTTGGAGGACAAAGAATGCTGAGTTGCATCTAAAGAACACCATACCTACTGTGAAGCATGGGGGTGGAAACATCATGCTTTGGGTCTGTTTTTCTGCAAAGGGACCAGGACGACTGATCCGTGTAAAGGAAAGAATGAATGGGGCCATGTATCGTGAGATTTTGAGTGAAAACCTCCTTCCATCAGCAAGGGCATTGAAGATGAAACGTGGCTGGGTCTTTCAGCATGACAATGATCCCTAACACACCGCCCGGGCAACGAAGGAGTGGCTTCGTAAGAAGCATTTCAAGGTCCTGGAGTGGCCTAGCCAGTCTCCAGATCTCAACCCCATAGAAAATCTTTGGCGGGAGTTGAAAGTCCGTGTTGCCCAGCGACAGCCCCAAAACATCACTGCTCTAGAGGAGATCTGCATGGAGGAATGGGCCAAAATACCAGCAACAGTGTGTGAAAACCTTGTGAAGACTTACAGAAAACTTTTGACCTGTGTCATTGCCAACAAAGGGTATATAACAAAGTATTGAGAAACTTTTGTTATTGACCAAATACTTATTTTCCACCACAATTTGCAAATAAATTCATTAAAAATCCTACAATGTGATTTTCTGGATTTTTCTCCCTCATTTTGTCTGTCATAGTTGACGTGTACCTATGATGAAAATTACAGGCCTCTCTCATCTTTTTAAGTGGGAGAACTTGCACAATTGGTGGCTGACTAAATACTTTTTTCCCCCACTGTATACTGTATATATGTGTTGTTGTTAATTGTGTGAATGGCCAAACCTATGTGTCTCTATTATCAATAGAGAGTAAGTGCAGCTTTTGTATATTGACCATGTATATTGATGTCACAGGAGGCTGCTGAGGGGAGAACGGCTCATAATAATAGCCAGAACGGAGCAAATGCAATGGCATCAAACACCTGGAAACCATGTGTTTGATGTATTTGAGCCCATTCCACTAATTACCATGAGCCCGTTCTCCCCAATTAAGGTGCCACCAACCTCCTGTGATTGATATATATTGTTGACCGCTCCTCCTCCAGGTCTGCTGCTGCCTGCAGCGTTCCTGGTTGCTGTGGGCTACTCCGGCTGCAATGGCGTGTTGGCTGTGACCTTCCTTACCCTCTCTACAACTGTAGGAGGCACCAGTGCAGCCGGGATCTTCATCAACCAGATAGACATTGCTCCACGGTGGGTGTTTATCTATTTGAGATGTCGTCACTTAACTTGTTTCTCTTCACTTCTCTCCCTACTCACCAGTCTTTTCTGGCATGTTTTGGACCTTCACTGAACTGTCTCTCTCTCTTGCACTCTTTATATCACACTCTCAGTCACTGAAGACTGAAGAAGTCACTCACTTACTCACTGCTTTTTCTCTGCTTTTGGATGTTTGGATGTATTTGAACCTCTTTTTTTCTCTCTCTTCCTCTCTTCCTCAGGTATGCAGGGGTGCTTTTAGGAATCACCAACACTTTCGGAACTATCCCAGGTGTGGTCGCACCCATCGTCACGGGTTACCTCACCAAAGATGTAAGCTTTCTGGTGACATTTCCTTCATAATCAAATGTATTAATTCTGTACTACTTTTGGTAAGAATTAAATATATGTAATATATCTACTTATATACAGCCCAATGCAGTAACTTTTAGAAATTAGCCATTAGGAAGATCTCAAGCAGCCCAATTCTGATCTTTCTTCCACTAATTGGTATTTTGACCAATCAGATCAGCTCTGGAAAAGGTCTGATGTGTAAAGATCTGATGTGATTGGTCAAAAGACCAATTAGTGGAAGAAAGATCAGAACTGGGCTGCTTGAGATCTTCCCAATGGCTAATTTCTAAAAGTTACTGCACCCTTGAAGACTGTTATACATACGACTATGTCCCCCCTCCCTCCTGGAACAGCAATCCCTGGCGGGATGGAGGAGTGTGTTCTGTCTGTCGGCCGGGATCAGCGCCGGAGGAGCTCTCATCTACACCTTGTTTGGCACCGGGAAGGTCCAGAAATGGGCCCTGGTAGAGGAGGATCAGGAGCAGGCAGAAACAGAGAGAGACAGATTAATCACTACATGACAGACAGACAGGCAGCCATGACCTAAAGCAGGGTTCCCCAACTGGCGGCCCGCGGGCCGAATTTGGCCCACGGTGGTTTTATTTGGCCTCCCCATGTTTTCTGAGCAACAAATAACTAAAACAGTATATTTTAATTTTTTGAATTTTCATTGTTGGACATAAAAAATGTAAAAACACCAGGAAATCAGCTCCAAGTCATTTTAATTTAATAATCTGTTCCCAAGTATTTCTACGCATAATAGAGAGGCACGTGATCATATACAAATGTAAGCAACGTTTGAAATTATTATGTTTTAGTCAAATTTAGTCTGTTTGGGCTTCTTGCGGTCAATTTGCAGTCTACAAATTATTTTGAATTATGTTCCGGCCCCCCTACCATCCGCTCAAGAAAAATGTGGCCCGCAGCTGAATCTAGTTGATGATCCCTAACCTAAAGGGAATAGGACCTGTAAGATATAAACTGACCTCAGGTTAACTTGACTCACCATCAGGTGGTTTTAAAAAAGATGGACCAGTGCATTTGAACAGTCTCTTAGTACACTGTGTTGGGATGGGACCCTATATCAGATACGATATTAAAATGGCCTCTTGAAATTCCAAATGCCTTTCTTTAGTATTGTTTACAACTATCTGTTTCTGACCATGTTTCGTATTTATATACAGGATGAATCGTTATGCCTTTTATACTCAAATCAAAGAGCTTTACGTTTGAGTTTGAGTTTCTTTTTCTTTTTACAGGGACAGTGCACATTAATCAACGTTTCAGTAAAAGTGCCGGTTTTAGCCAGCTGGCTAATTTTCAACAGCAGTCCCTGTGCAGGTTATTAAAAACGATTACAATAACAATACAGACAAACAATGAGCAGTGAGCACATGCAGAGCAACATAGGACAAGCAGCACACAGACAGAGCAACAGCACAAAAAGCAACACAACAAAATCCATAAAAGCAACAAAGTGTTTCCATACCTCACAAGCTACAGACAACAGATAACATGGAAAGCGGCAATACACAGCTAGGGATTATGTTCACAAGTCTGATTGGCCTTTAGCCATGTCTTTATGTTTTTTGTGAAGGTGCGATAGGTGGTGCAGTTATGTGTGTCTGATGGCAGTGTGTTCAAGACATGGGAAGCTCTCACAGAGAAAGCAGTTTGACTAAAGATGCTTTTCCTTAAGGGAACTATACAGTCACCTCTCATGGCAGACCTTGTGGATCTGCTGCCATGGGTTTGGGTTTTCTGTTTGGCAAAAGTACTAAGTGGAGTGGAGGCAGGCCATTTAGAATCTTGAATACAAGACATCTGTCAGTGTATTGCACAAGATTTTCCCAACTCAGGAGCTCATGCTTTCTGAGGATGTAACAGTGATGATGGCTATTGGACAGACTGAATGGGTTTTATGTGACGTGGTGAGGTTGGACCCAGGAGCAGAGAAGAGACCAGACTAGGAATCAGTGGTTAAGGGGGGCGAACCCGAACTGATGGAGACATTCCAGTGGATGAGTTTGGCAATGGTTATGAGCATATTCCGAAGATGGCCTGAGTGGAGACGAAACAGCGGAGGAACTTCTCCAGTGCCTGGTTGGCTCGCTCAGTTTGCCCATTCGACTGTGGGTGGAACCCCGAGGAGAGACTCACCGACGCCCCCAACAGGGATCAGAAGGCTTTCCAATACCGTGCGACGAACTGGGGCCCACGATCCGAGACAATGTCCTGGGGAATCATGAGATCAGCTATCTCCTTCGCCGAGGGCAACTTGGGTAAAGCGATGAAATGGGCTGCCTTGGAGAACCAATCGACGACCACCAGGATAGTGGTAAGCCCTTGGGATGGAGGTAACCCTGTGATAAAGTCTACAGACAGGTGGGACCAGGGCCGGCTGGAGATGGGCAGAGGTTGGCGCAACCCAGCCGGTCGCTGTCGTGAGGACTTGCTTTGGGCACAGGTGGAACAAGCCGCAACGAAGGATCTCACATCCTCAATCATGTTGGGCCACCAGAATTTTCACCTCAGGAACTCCAGTGTCCGATTAACCCCAGGATGCCCAGTTAATTTAGAGGAGTATCCCCATTGTAGTGCTCGAGAACGGGCTGATCACAGAACATAAAGTCTGTTAGTGAGACCCCCCCCCCAGGGTCAGGTTCTCGGGTCTGGGCTTGTCGTACCGTGGTCTCAATACTCCATACCACGGGAGCCACAATGCGGGAGCTGGGGATGATGGGCTCGGAGTCCCTCTCCTCGTTAGAGACATTGTGTTGACGGGACAGGGCGTCTGGGTGTATAGTAGGTGTCCCGTGGACCAGGAGAATAGTGGGTTATGTAGCGCAAGCCAGGGGTACCCTAGGATAATGGGGTTCTCGGGAGCAGTGATCAAAAGAAAACTAAGAGTCTCTGAGGGGTTCACCCCAACCTGCAGTAAAATGGGCTTGGTCTGATATTCCACCTGGCCGGAGCCAATGGGGCGTTAATCTAGGGCTTGAATCTGCAGAGGGATGGGACATTTCACGCAGGGGATTTGTAATTCTCTGGAGAAGTCTTGATCAATGAAATGATCAGCGGCCCCGGAGTCCATGAAGGCTTGAATCTGGTTCTGACGGTTGAATCTGGATTTGACGGTTGTCCCAGTGGAGGGTTGCGGGTAGTGACAGACGGTGACTGGGTAGCCGGGGTGAAACTGCACAGCTCGTCAGGGTCTCCCCTTGTCCTGGCGAGCCCTGGCGTTTCCCATTAGCTCTGGCATTTAGCAAGGAGATGGCAGAGACCTCCGCAGTAGAGGCAGCAGCCTTCGCCCATGCGCCTGTCATGTTCCTATGGGCTCAGACGTGTGCGTCTCAGCTGCACAGACTCCCTGATGCTGGGCTCGGGTGGTGTCAAAAAGGCGCTGTCTCACACATTCTCGGAGGCGGTTGTCAAACCTGATTGCCAGCGTTATCAGGGACTCTAGGTCCTTTCCCAGTTCCCGAGAGGCCAGTTCATCCTTAGACAGACCCTGGTGGAAAGCGGTGACCAGTGCCTCCATATTCCACCCACTCTCGGCGGCGAGGGTGTGGAACTCAATGGCGAAGTCAGCCACTGGTCTGGCCCCTTGGTGGATGTTGAACAACAAAGCTAATATGGAGCTGCAGGATGGTGGCTGCTGTTCCCACACCGCCGTTGCCCACGCCAGGGCCTTGCCAGAGAGTAGAGAGATGGTGTAGGTGATCATGGCCCGATCGGTGTGGAACGAGGAGGACTGTAGCTCGAACACAAGAGAGCACTGAGTGAGGAACCCCTTGTATCCTCCCGGGTGTCCGTCATACCGCTCGGGGGCTGGGATCTTGGGTTCCCGGTGCAGGTTCCCTGGAGGAACTACGGCAACGCCTGTAGCACTGGGCGATGAGACTTGGGCATTGGCTCCTCCTGGGTTGGGGTTGGACTGTGGTTGGAAGAAGTCGGTAAGTGCCCGGAGGGTCTCTGATATTTGGGAGAGTTGTTCTTGCTGCCGCCTTAGCAGTGCTCCTTGGTGGGTTACAACGTTCTTGATCTGGGTGATCTCTGCTGGGTCCATGTTGGAGGCAGAAATTTGCTGTGACATGGGAGGTGGGACCACGGAGCAGAGAAGAGACCAGACGAGGAATCAGTGGTTAAGGATAAACATAATACTTTACTGAGAAACGGTATCCGAAGGATCACAGTAACACATAAAAAAAAAACAGTACGTCTCGAAAACTCACTCAGGAGACAAAAGCACATGGCAAATAATTCAAGCTTCTGCAAAGGACAACAGAAAACACACCTCTTTTAACCAGTATCGGTGTCCCTATACCGGGACGGTTGTTGCTAAAGTGCGCTAATGTGACTAGAATGACGTTGTAAGTAACAGCAAACTTTCCAGGACATAGACATGTCTTATATGGGCAGAAAGCTTAAATTATTGTTAATCTAACTGCACTGTCCAATATACAGTAGCTATTACAGTGAAAAAATTACATGCTATTGTTTGAGGAGAGTGCACAACAACAAACAACTTTTATCATGGCAACTGGTTTGATACATTCACCTCTGAAGGTAAATAATGTACTTACATTCAGTAATCTTGCTCTGATTTGTCATACTGAGGGTCCCAGAGATAAAATTGTAGGATAGTTTTGTTTGATCAAATCAATTTTCATATTCAAATGTAGGAACTGGGTTCTACAGTTTGAACCCCTGCTGTCTCTGGCTCCACTCCCACCCTGCCCGGCCATCTAGATGTGTGAAAGTTAGTGTATAAGCTAATGATCCATCATGTATGTCATTCCTGGGAGTGTGTAAACTTGAATGTAGTATTACCATATCATTTTTGTATGTTCTCTATAGTTATGTACTTGAAAATGCATCAATTGACCGATTCAGCACATTTGGGCAGACTTGATACAAAATATTGTGCAGTATTGCAATGCTTCACTGGATCAGTCTGAAACTTTGCATACACACACTGCTGCCATCTGGTGTCCACAATCTAAATTGCGCCTCAACTCCTATATGATATTATGGCCTTTCTCTTGCATTTCAAAGATGATGGAACAGAACAAATAAATAAATAGAAAACACGTTTTTTTGTTTGTATTATCTTTTACCAGATCTAATGTGTTATATTATCCTACATTAATTTCAAATTTCTAGAAGGATTACTTTATACTACTCCAGGTATTCCTTAAAGAGGTAGGGTTTCAAGTGTCTCCGGAAGGTGGTCAGTGACTCCGCTGTCCTGGCGTCGTGGGGGAGCTTGTTCCACCATTGGGGTGCCAGAGCACCAAATAGCTTTGACTGGGCTGAGTGGGAACTGTGCTTCCGTAGAGGTAGGAGAGCTAGCAGGCCAGAGGTGGATGAACGTAGTGCCCTCGTTTGGGTGTAGGGTCTGATCAGAGCCTGAAGGTAAGGAGGTGCCGTTCCCCTCACAGCTCCGTAGGCAAGCACCATGGTCTTGTAGTAGATGCGAGCCTCAACTGGAAGCCAGTGGAGTGTGCGGAGGAGCGAGGTGACATGAGAGAACTTGGGAAGGTCGAACACCAGACGGGCTGCGGCGTTCTGGATAAGTTGTAGGGATTTAATGGCACAGGCAGGGAGCCCAGCTAACAGCGAGTTGCAGTAATCCAGACGGGAGATGACAAGTGCCTGGATTAGGACCTGTGCCGCTTTCTGTGTAAGGTAGGGTCGTACTCTGCGAATGTTGTAGAGCATGAACCTGCAGGATCGGGTCACCGCTTTGATGTTAGCGGAGAACGACAGGGTGTTGTCCAGGGTCACGCCAAGGTTCTTTGCACTCTGGGAGGAGGACACAATGGAGTTGTCAACCGTGATGGCTAGATCATGGAGCGGGCAATCCTTCCCCGGGAGGAAGAGCAGCTCCGTCTTGCCAAGGTTCAGTTTGAGGTGGTGATCCGACATCCACACTGATATGTCTGCCAGACATGCAGAGATGCGATTCGCCGCCTGGTTATCAGAAGGGGGAAAGGAGAAGATTAGTTGTGTGTCGTCTGCGTAGCACTGATAGGAGAGACCATGTGAGGATATGACAGAGCCAAGTGACTTGGTGTATAGAGAGAATAGGAGAGGGCCTAGAACTGAGCACTGGGGGACACTAGTGGTGAGAGCACGTGGTGCGGAGACAGATTCTCGCCACGCCACCTGGTAGGAGCGACCTGTCAGGTAGGACGCAATCCAAGAGTGAGCAGCGCCGGAGATGCCCAACTCGGAGAGGGTGGAGAGGAGGATCTGATGGTTCACAGTATCAAAGGCAGCGGATAGGTCTAGAAGGATAAGAGCAGAGGAGAGAGAGTTAGCTTTAGCAGTGCGGAGAGCCTCCGTGACACAGAGAAGAGCAGTCTCAGTTGAATGACTGTCTTGAAACCTGACTGGTTTGGATCAAGAAGGTCATTCTGAGAGAGATAGCAGGAGAATTGGCTAGAGACGGCACGCGCAAGAGTTTTGGAGAGAAAATAAAGAAGGGATACTGGTCTGTAGTTGTTGACATCGGAGGGATCGAGTGTAGGTTTTTTGAGGAGGGGTGCAACTCTCGCTCTCTTGAAGACGGAAGGGACATGGCCAGCGGTCAAGGATGAGTTGATGAGCGAGGTGAGGTAAGGGAGAAGGTCTCCGGAAATGGTCTGGAGAAGAGAGGAGGGGATAGGGTCAAGCGGGCAGGTTGTTGGGCGGCCGGCCATCACAAGTCGCAAGATTTCATCTGGAGAGAGAGGGGAGAAAGAAGTCAAAGCATAGGGTAGGGCAGTGTGAGCAGGACCAGCGGTGTCATTTGACTTAATAAATGAGGATCGGATGTCGTCAACCTTCTTTTCAAAATGGTTGACGAAGTCATCCACAGAGAGGGAGGAGGGAGGGGGGGGAGGAGGAGGATTCAGCAGGGAGGAGAAGGTGGCAAAGAGCTTCCTAGGGTTAGAGGCAGAGGCTTGAAATTTAGAGTGGTAGAAAGTGGCTTTAGCAGCGGAAACAGAGAAAGAGAATGTAGAGAGGAGGGAGTGAAAAGATGATCCGCAGGAAGTCTAGTTTTCCTCCATTTCCGCTCGGCTGCCCGGAGCCCTCTTATTTGAGCTCGCAATGAGTCGTCAAGCCACGGAGCAGGAGGGGAGGACCGAGCCGGCCGGGAGGATAGGGGACATAGAGAGTCAAAATATGCAGAAAGGGAGGAGAGGAGGGTTGAGGAGGCAGAATCAGGAGATCGGAGGGAGAAGGATTTAGCAGAGGGAAGAGATGATAGGATGGAAGAGGAGAGAGTAGCGGGAGAGAGAGAGCGAAGGTTGCGACGGCACATTACCATCTGAGTACGGGCAAGCAGTATGTTAAGAGGGGGAGTATCAATAATGGTACTAACCCTAAGTGGTATAAGGAAAAACACAGACAACTCTTAATAAACTTTTAAGTGCTCTTATACTTTTATCTACCACATTTGATAAAATACCTGTGCCCTTCCCAGGTTTCATAGCCTATAATTAGCCATTTTCTAGTCTGTTGGCTGTATAACAATTACTTCCCCAAACCATATGTTCCTTGAATATCTTAATTGAATGACAGACAGACTGACTTACAAAACTTCAACAATTGAAATGAACAAAAAATCTAACTTAACTTATTTTACCACCACTATGACATGCACTGTGCCCTCAAGGACATTGCTGCACAAATAAAAATGTGGACACCCAAAATTGTGAATATGGGAAATGTACATTCATGTAAGAATGCTTTGTTGGGAAATGTACATTCATGCAAGAACATTTTGTTATATTCTCTGTAAGTTTTATGTAAAAACAAATCAATGTGAATATTCATAACATAAATAAATCAGTGAAATAGAAATAGCACACCATTTTGATTTCACTGATTTATTTAGTAGCATACTGGTTTAACTTTCCATTAAATAATACCAAAATGTTCGCATAGTGAATTTTTGTGTTGTCATTTCTGTACTTTTGAAGAATTATATTTTTGCCAATTTTATCCTAAATGCATTATTACATTTTTATTCACATTTATATTGCGTCAAACTAGGACTTTTATTTAGAAGTTTTCAAGCTCATAACCTGGTTCCATTTAATGTCCAACCCGGATGTTTTGAGTTGCTAGTGGGAGTGTGAAACGCTACGTGCTTTCCGGGGTCCTTGGGACGTCTCTACCAGTGGAGGCTGGTGGGAGGAGCTATAGGAAGACGGGCTCATTGTAATGGCTGGAATAGAATAAATGGAACGGTACCAAATACAGCAAAGACATGGTAACAACGTGTTTGACACGTTTCATTGATTCCATTCCAGCCATTACAATGAGCCTGTCCTATAGCTCCTCCCACCAGCCTCCTCTGGTCTCTACCCCATTGAAGTTTACATTTAAAATGGTTAAGGGTTAGGGTTAAGGTTAGGGTTAGGGAAGGGTTATGGTTAAGGTTAGGGTAGGGGTTAGGGTTTAGGGTCCCAAGGATCCCATATAGCATTGACCAGTGTTAAACAAGCACTTCTTTTCAATTTTCAGACTGTGGGGAGACAATTTTCGGAATAGCCCAACAACTTAAAGGGCATCACCTTACTCTGAGTAGAGATATTTTACGCATGTCTAAACGAAAACCGTCCGCTGAGGCTCTTGAAATGTCCCCCAATACTGAAGATGATTGAGATACAGGGAGTGAATCTGAGCCTGACAGTGATGTATTCTGGACTAAACCTCTTGAATTTTCCACTGAAAGTGAGGACTGGGTTGTAACCAGTGAAGACAGTGGGCCACCAACCAAAAAACGCCGGCGCATGAACCCAATCACTCCAACAGGAAAACCGGTTCCTCCAACAGAAAATGGGGTTCAGGAGACTGGCAAAGATGGCTCCCTTTGGCAAAGGTTAAACCCCATTGGAGAGGCAGTGGGTCAGAGAGCAACTCAACAAGTTTTCATGGACACTCCAGGGCCAACAGAGCACGCACAAAGCAACATAGACAGCATCATCTTTTTGGGGCAAACAATGCCAAGGAACAGATTTAGAGATATCATGCAATATTTATGATTCTTCGACCACAAAAAAATTAAGAGTGAAAGTGTCAAAAATGACACATTACCCCGTGTCACACGTTTGGAACAGTTTTGTCAAAAATAGCATCACCTGCTACAATCCAGGACCGAATATTGCTGTGGATTCGCAGGTGTTTCCCACAAAATTACAGTGCGTTTTCTCGCATTTCATGGGAAACAAGCTGGACCGTTTGGGAATCAAGTTCTGGCTGGCAGTGGATGCTGACACCAAATACATTGTGAATGGTTTCCCCGACTTGGGGAAAGTGGATGACAGCCAGACAACTGGACAGTGCCAGTGTGATGCTGAAGCTGATGGAGCCTTATCTTGACAAAGGAAGAAATGTGACGACCGACAACCACTTAAATTCACATGAACTGGCAAATAAGTTGCTGCATAAGAAAACCGCCCTGGTTGGAAAGATTGACAAACGCCGACGGGAGCTGCCACCATCTGCCATCAGAATCAAAGAAACAGGGCTTTATTCAAGTGCATTTCTGAAACACAATGACGCGACGCTGACGATGAAAACCATCAGTGGTCTCAGCACCCTGCACCTGTCTGTTGGCACTAGTACCGGCAGAAAGAAAACCGCTGAAACTCAGACTTTCTACAACTCCACTTAAGTCGGGGTGAATGTGTTGGATTGACATGCGCGCATGTACAGTGTGAAGGGGGGCTCCCAGCGGTGGCCAATGGCTGTCTTCTACAAATTCCTGTACTTGGCAGCCATCAATGCCTATGTGCTTTACAAAGAGTGCATGTGGGACACTGTGCGATATACCAGGAGAGAGTTTATCCTGAAGCTAGCTTCGGGCAAACCACATTACACATACAAAAGTATGTGGACACCCCTTCAAATCAGTGGATTCGGCTAGTTCAGCCACACCCGTTGCTGACAGGTGTATAAAATCGAGCACACAGCCATGCACTCTCCATAGACAAACATTGGCAGTAGAATGGCCTTACTGAAGAGCTCAGTGTCTTTCAACGTGGCACCGTCATAGGATGCCACCTTTCCAAACAAGTCAGTTTGTCAAATTTCTGCCCTGCTAGAGCTGCCCCGGTCAACTGTATGTGCTGTTAGTGTGAAGTGGAAACGTCTAGGAGCAACAACGGCTCAGCCACACAAGCTCACAGAACGGGACCTCAGAGTGCTGAAAATCGTCTGTCCTTGGTTGCAATGACACTCACTACAGAGTTCCAAACTGCCTCTGGAAGCAACGTCAGCACAAAAACAGTTTGTCTGAGCTTTATTATATGCGATTCTATGACCGAGCAGCAGCAAGTCTAAGATCACCATGCGCAATGCCAAGTGTCGACTGGAGTGGTGTAAAGCTTGCCACCATTGCACTCTGAAGCAGTGGAAACGCGTTCTCTGGATTGACGAATCACGCTTCACCATCTGGCAGTCTAACGGACAAATCTGGGTTTGGCAGATGCCAGGAGAACGCTACCTGCCCCAATGCATAGTGCCAACTATAAAGTTTGGTGGAGGAGGAATAATGGTCTGGGGCTGTTTTTCAGGGTTCGGGCTAGGCCCCTTAGTTTCAATGAAGGGAAATCTTAACGCTACAGCATACAATTACATTTTAGTCATTTAGCAGACGCTCTTATCCAGAGCGACTTACAGTTAGTGAGTGCATACATTTTCATACTGGCCCCCCGTGGGAAACGAACCTACAACCCTGGCGTTTTAAGCGCCATGCTCTACCAACTGAGCTACAGGGGACTATTCTGTGCTTCCAACTTTGTGGCAACAGTTTGGGGAAGGCCCTTTCCTGTTTCAGCATGACAATGCCCCCGTGCACAAAGCAAGGTCCATACAGAAATGATTTGTCGAGATCGGTATGGAAGAACTTGACTGGCCTGCACAGAGTCCTGACCTCAACCCCATCGAACACCTTTGGGATGAATTGGAACGCCGACTGCGAGCCAGGCCTAATCACCCAACATCAGTGCCTGACCTCACTAGTGCTCTTGTGGCTGAATGGAAGCAAGTCCCCGCAGCAATGTTCCAACATCTAGTGGAAAGCCTTCCCAGTAGAGTGGAGGCTGCTATAGAAGCAAAGGGAGGACCAACTCCATGTTAATGTCCATGATTTTGGAATTAGATGTTCGACTAGCAGGTGTCCACATACTTTTGGTCATGTAGTGTATGTGATGCTAAAAGGAACTATAAAGCCGGAGTCCGGTCCGGAGCCCGATCCCCGCACTGCCAACGACTTAGTGAAAAGAAAGAATTGTCAAGGGGCTAGGACTAAATGTAGGACCAGAACTCTTAAGGTATGTTCGGAATGCAGCAGATATGTTTGTGGAAAGTGCGTCAAGACAGTGAAGAAAATAATCGTCTGTCACAAATACTAGTAGCAGGACACTTTCCAAAATCCCCAAGTTTCCAGCATGCGTAAAAGTGCACACGGACGGACTATGGCGCACAAACTATGAAGACAGATGTTGATGCATTGGTTGCATTTTCATCGACATACAAAACAAGTGGCCTACTACCTCAACATGACTGCACATCAATGCGAGCTGTGGCAAGAAGGTTTGCTGTGTCTGTCAGCGTAGTGTCCAGAGCATGGAGGCGCTACCAGGCGGGCAACAACCCAGCAGCAGGACTGCTACCTCCGCCTTTGTGCAAGGAGGAGCAGGAGGAGCACTGCCAGAGCCCTGCAAAATGACCTCCAGCAGGCCACAAATGTGCATGTGTCTGCTCAAACGGTCAGAAACAGACTCCATGAGTGTGGTATGAGGGCCCGACGTCCACAGGTGGGGGTTGTGCTTACAGCCCAACACCGTGCAGGACATTTGGCATTTGCCAGAGAACACCGAGATTGGCAAATTCGCCACTGGCGCCCTGTGCTCTTCACAGATTAAAGCAGGTCCACACTGAGCACGTGACAGATGTGACAGAGTCTGGAGATGCCGTGGAGAATGTTCTGCTGCCTGCAACATCCTCCAGCATGACCGGTTTGGCAGTGGGTCCGTCATGGTGTGGGGTGGCATTTCTTTGGGGGGCCGCACAGCCCTCCATGTACTCACCAGAGGTAGCCTGACTGCCATTAGGTACCGAGATGAGATCCTCAGACCCCTTGTGAGACCATATACTGGTGCGGTTGGCCCTGGGTTCCTCCTAATGCAAGACAATGCTAGACCTCATGTGGCTGGAGTGTGTCAGCAGTTCCTGCAAGAGGAAGGCATTGATGCTATGGCCTGGCCCGCCCATTCCCCAGACCTGAATCCAATTGAGCACATCTGGGACATCATGTCTCGCTCCATCCACCAACGCCACGTTGCACCACAGACTGTCCAGGAGTTGGCGGATGCTTTAGTCCAGGTCTGGGAGGAGATCCCTCAGGAGACCATCCGCCACCTCATCAGGAGCATGCCCATGCGTTGTAGGGAGGTCATACAGGCACGTGGAGGCTACACACACTACTGAGCCTCATTTTGACTTGTTTTAAGGACATTACATCAAAGTTGGATCAGCCTGTAGTGTGGTTTTCCACTTTAATTTTGAGGGTGACTCCAAATCCAGACCTCCATGGGTTGATAAATTTGATTTCCATTGATAATTTTTGTGTGATTTTGTTGTCAGCACATTCAACTATGTAAAGAAAAAAGTATTTCGTAAGATTATTTCATTCATTCAGATCTAGGATGTGTTATTTTAGTGTTCCCTTAATTTTTTTGAGCAGTGTATAATATGCCATTTAGCAGACGCTTTTATCCAAAGCGACACAGTCATGCGTGCATACATTTTTACGTATGGGTGGTCCCGGGGATCGAACCCGCTACCCTGGCATTACAAGCGCCATGCTCTACTAATTGAGCTACAGAGGACCACATGAATATATAAATATAGGCTACAGAGTTTGATGATGGATGAAGTTACAGTTGAAGTCGGAAGTTTACATACGTCAAATACATTTAAACTCAGTTTTTCACAATTCCTGACATTTACAGTCTTAGGTCAGTTAGGATCACCACTTTTAATTTAAGAATGTGAAATGTCAGAATAATAGTTGAGAGAATTATTTATTTCAGCTTTTATTTCTTACATCACATTCCCAGTGGGTCAGAAGTTTACATACACTCAATTAGTATTTGGTAGCATTGCCTTTAAATTGTTTAACTTGGGTCAAACATTTCAGGTAGCCTTCCACAAGCTTCCCACAATAAGTTGGGTGAATTTTGGCCCATTCCTCCTGACAGAGCTGGTGTAACTGAGTCAGGTTTGTAGACCTCCACGCTTTTTCATTTCTGCCCACAAATGTTCTATAGGATTGAGGTCAGGGCTTTGTGATGGCCACTCCAATACCTTGACTTTGTTGTCCTTCAGCCATTTTGCCACAACTTTGGAAGTATGCCTGGGGTCATTGTCCATTTGGAAGACCCATTCTTGAGATGTTGCTTCAATATATCCATATAATTCTCCTTCCTCATGATCCCATCTATTTTGTAAAGTGCACCAGTCCCTCCTTCAGCATGATGCTGCCACCCCCGTGCTTCACGGTTGGGATGGTGTTCTTCCGCTTGCAAGTCCCCCCTTTTTCCTCCAAACATAACGATGGTTCTGTTTGTTTCATCAGACCAGAGGACATTTCTCGAAAAAATACGATCTTTGTCCCCATGTGCAGTTGCAAACCGTAGTCTGGCTATTTTATGGAGGTTTTGGAGCGGTGGCTTCTTCCTTGCTGAGCCGCCTTTCAGGTTATGTCGATATAGGACTCGTTTTACTGTGGATATAGATACTTTTGTACCTGTTTCCTCCAGCATCTTCACAAGGTCCTTTGCTGTTGTTCTGGGATTGATTTGCACTTTTCGCACCAAAGTACGTTAATCTCTAGGAGACAGAACGCGTCTCCTTCCTGAGCGGTATGACGGCTGCGTGGTCACATGGTGTTTATACTTGCGTACTATTGTTTGTACAAATAAACGTGGTACCTTCAGGCATTTGGAAATTGCTCCCAAGGATGAACCAGACTTGTGGAGGTCTACAATTATTTTTCTGAGGTCTTGGCTGATTTCTTTTGATTTTCCCATGATGTCAAGCAAAGAGGCACTGAGTTTGAAGGTAGGCCTTGAAATACATCCACAGGTACACCGCCAATTGACTCAAATGATGTCAATTAGCCTATCAGAAGCTTCTAAAGCCATGACATCATTTTCTGGAATTTTCCAAGCTGTTTAAAGGCACAGTCAACTTAGTGTATGTAAACTTCTGACCCACTGGAATTGTGATACAGTGAATTATAAGTGAAATTATCTGTCTGTATACAATTGTTGGAAAGATTACTTGTGTCATGCACAAAGTAGATGTCCTAACCGACTTGCCAAAACTATAGTTTGTTAACAAGAAATTTGTGGAGTGGTTGAAAAACGAGTTTTAATGACTCCAACCTAAGTATATGTAAACTTCCGACTTCAACTGTATATCTACAGAAATAATTCAGATCCTGCTTCTGTTGCCTGTTTGAGTGTTTGTTTAATAGCCTAATGGTTCGGTGAGCACCAAGGCTCACACAACAACATGTCAAGTAAACGTTTTCACAAATTCAGCTGTTTTTAATCTTTGCATTGCTGTAATAAAGGCTTTACACTTTTTTTTCGTTAGAACAGCCTCTCTGGTATCTTTATAATTAATTTAGTGTTGTTTACATTGTTCCAAAGTGTCAGAATTAATAATAATGATAATAATAATAACCCTTCTTTTTCTTGATATCCTTCTTATTGTTATTATTACTATTATTATTATGATCATCATTATAATAAGTATTGTCATTATCATTAGTAGGCTTAGTATAGCAGCCTGAGCTGTAGGCCTAAGAGCATATCCTGTTTAGTCTTAATACTGTAACTTATTTAGGCCAATATTTCAATGCTTATACAGGCTACAGTATCAATCAATGTTTCATTCGTTCATGTCATCACACAGCATATGAGTCATTCATGATTTGAAATGCAATCAAGCATTTTAGTTTTAAATTAAAATAATGCAATCCTAGAATAATTAGCTTAAACAATAAGCCGTTCCATTTCGGACACATTTCCACACATTGACTTCCCCTTGACCTCATGTGCAACCAGTAAACATTCCCCGTTTCGAGTTTATTTGTCACGTCCTGCACCCCTGCAGTCTCTATGTGGACACAGAGGAGGGTGAGCCTCATAGAGTTAATAATATGGTCAGGGTCAGGAAATGCTCTGCAGATGGGGAGGGTATTTCCCACAAAGTGGATTTCTTGATTATTATACCATTGAATAAAGAGGCAAGTTAACTCAGAATACTACACCAATACCTGTGCAGTAGCAATGTAATGTCACGTAGTATTTGTAATTGTTTAGTAAATACATCGAAATGGAGATATGCTGTTTTGGTGTACCTCAAGATTGTATCACTCTCTCTCACACACACACACACACACAAACACACACACACATTGTTTTCTCTCTATCAGACCGGTCCTTGTCAGCTGGGTGGGTAGGCTTGGTGGGTCGAAGGGGCCCCTGCTCCAAACAGCCCTTCATGGTGACCTTCTTCAGGGCCAGCCAGGCCTCCTGTCGCGCCCTGAATCCCAACCCCCGCAAGAAGAAGCCCAAATATGACCGTCCCCTGCCCAGTATACATGGTGAGGTCATACAAGGTCAGGGGACAACACTGGTTTTTGGTGTTGTTGTTAAGCTTGTTTTATGCAGAGTTTAAAGGGATATTTCATCCAAATTACAAAATTACTTAACTTGCGTTTACATTTAATTGTGTCTTTATTTTAAATCCAATGCATCCAAAGCATGCTTTACAGTCTGTCCTGTCTCATAACATCTTTTTTGATCCCTTTCAGATCACAGCCACGTCAACAGTGGGCGTCAGGCTTGTAAGAGACATGAATTATATGTGAGCTTTAGTGACCTAGGCTGGAAGGTGAGCTTCTGTCTCCCTTAACTACTCAATCTACTGAATAGATAATATCATGATCTAACATTGTATCACCTTATTTGCTGTAACACACAATTAGTATTTTTAGGGAAACAAGGCATTTGTGTAGTATTTGCTTTGTAGTGTATGTTCTTTGCATGTTTTATGATGTATTTCTCATAGTCATTAATCTAATCTTGTCATTCTATTTCTATGGTATTTCTCTGCATAAGGACTGGGTCGTGGCTCCTACGGGTTACTCAGCCTTCTACTGTGATGGAGAATGCCTATACCCTCTGGGTTCCTGCATGAACGCCACCAACCACGCTATGATCCAACTAGTGATCAGTATGCACTACTACACCCTCTCTCACATTTCTTTCTTTCTTCTAATTTACAACTGCGACCTGGCCAAGATAAAGCAAAGCAGTGCGATAAAAACAACAACAACACAGGGCAAGTTTCAGCGGAGGGTGCAGAGCTGGTGGACGGGGGTAGGGGTAGCCAGGTGGAAAGCATGGCCAGCAGTAGCAAAATGATTATTGAAATTCTCGATTATAGTAGATTTATCGGTGGTGAACGTGTTTCCTAGCCTCAGTGCAGTGGGTAGCTGGGAGGAGGTGCTCTTATTCTCCATGGACTTTACAGTCTCCCAAAACTTTTTGGAGTTAGTGCTACAGGATGCACATTTCTGTTTGAAAAAGCTAGCCTTTGCTTTCCTAACTGATTTTGTATATTGGTTCCTGACTTCCCTGAAAAGTCGCATATCGCGGGGGCTGTTTGATTCTAATGCAGTACGCCACAGGATGTTTTTGTGCTGGTCAAGGGCAGTCAAGTCAGGGGTGAACCAGGGGCTATACATTAATGGCAAATATGGCAAACTGAAACTAAAATAACCAATTTACCATAGTCTACAATGGCAGAGTCTTAATATACAATACGGATAGTGAGAAGTAATTTTCAAGACTGAAGCAATTGTGCCCTATAGTGGTGGACTTTATACTGTACCAGGTTACTACACAACTAACATACACTGAGTGTACAAAACATTAGGAACACCTGCTCTTTCCATGACATAGACTGCCCAGGTAAATTCAGGTGAAAGCTATGATCCTTTGAACGGGGTATGGTAGTAGGTGTATCAAGAATGGTCCACCACCCAAAGGTCATTCAGCCAACTTGACACAACTGTGGGAAGCATTGGAGTCAACATGGGCCAGAATCCCTTTAGAACGCTTTCGACACCTTGTAGAGTCCATGCCCCGACAAATGGAGGCTGTTCTGAGCAACAGGGGGTGCAACTCAATATTACCAAGGTGTTCATAATGTTTTGAACACTCAGTGTATGTAGGCCTACATGTTTTTAAATAGTACAGTATCACACATCACAGTACAATGCCATAAAGCGTGGGCCTGTAGTACATGTAAATCAACTTAAAGTTGGTTTTTATTTCCATATGCAAAGAATAAAGCATAATTGTTCATGTAATAATGTAATATTAGCCTCATAACAACTCCAGGAATAGGAAATAGTGATGAAATAATCAAATAAATGAAAAGACAGAGACAAATGCTTTTGAACTACTATTTATTTTATTTGAAAATGTAAAATTCAGTGCAAAGTAATGTAGTGCACTAGTGTCTAGATCCCTGTTAGGTGGCAAAGTGTGACAAGAATCCTGTGGGGAGAGAAAACAAGAGAATACATGCATTTAATAGGTGTTAACTAATCAGGGTTCAACGAAGCACTTCAAGTCCTCAATTCCAGAGAGAAGAGAGAAGAGAGAAGAGAGGAGAGAGGAGAGAGGAGAGAGGAGAGAGGAGAGAGGAGAGAGAGGAGAGAGAGAGAGAGAGAGAGAGAGAGAGAGAGAGAGAGGAGAAGAGAAGTGTGGCCCTTCAGGTCTCTGCAGTAGGACTACATGCTGGCCATGAGGTACTCGAGGTGGTACTCCAGGAGGCTGGAGAGCTCAGTGACCAGAGACTCTCGGTTAAAGTACCAGGCCAGCTGCTGCCCAAACATGTCATCTAGCAGGGCCATCAGCCCGCCCTGAAGGGAACACCACACAACACATAGAAAATGGCTCTGAGCTACTAGCTTATCAATAGGAGAGAGACAATGAGAGTTACTCCCCCTAAAACGGCATTGAAACCCTGTTAACCAGGAACGAGTAAAGAGGAATTAAACTAGTAATAAGGAAGAAAACAGGAAGTAAACTCTTGACTCGTACATTGAGCAGCAACAGGTATCTCTCAGCCTTTGGCTCAATGCTGGCAACAGTGGGCAGGAAGGAGTACAGGAGAGTGTACAGACGCTCCATGAACCCACCAGGTTGCTAAAGTAAACAGAGGAGGAGAGAAGAGAAATTGAAGTGAAATTGCTAATAGACAGACATCTAAACATTTACCAGTGAGATGCTACTTACCACCATCAGGGATTTCTGAGCTGTCATCATCCCAAACAGCACCAGCTCAAAAAGGACATCTATCAGGTTAACATGATGGATCTAGGACAAGAAAACACGTTTGGAGAAAATAGGAATGATTTCAAATAGATCAGCTACTGTGCCGTATAAAAGACATGCATGTGGAAGAACTCAAAGTGAGACTTGAAAGAGTTAATTAACTCACCTTTGCCTCAGCCAGCTCCCTCTCAATGTCAATCTGCTTGGAGGGGTCACTCAGGTAGTCCACAAAGTCGTTATAGGCACGGATGAATTCGGCCTCGTCCTATCACAAAGCAAAGAGCAGTGATGTTAGTGCACAGAACACATTTCCCACCGAGGACGTTCTCTTTCCCTTGAAGGACAATGAGTTAGTGAGCTACCATCTGGTGGACCTGAACCAGTGCGCCCAGTAGGACCTTTCCCGCCACAAACAGATGGTTCCTGCTCAGGGTGGAACCGAGCAGGGTCTAGAGAAGAGGGAAGAGTTAGGGTGAGACACCCATCTTCCTCTAGGAGACAGACAGAACAGGAAGACACAGAGAGTCAAAGAAAAGTGGGTCCACTCACAGTAAAGGCCTGGCGCAGGGAGACGAGCCTCAGGCCGATGTCCTCCACTCTCTTGGTGGTAAGGTAGAGGCTGTGGAAGAGAGGGAATGGAGCATGTCAATGGGGGATAACAGCATTGTGACCACTATCCTTCAGCATCTGACAAGCTCAGACTACACACACATTTAGAGGGACTCACTTTAGCAGAGGAACCTCCCTCTCCTCAGGCAGCAGGTCCTCCTCCCAGCCCTACAATAACAGAACAATTATTCAACATCAGTGACCAATGTAATGACATGACAAACAATGGGTCAATCGAAGGATCTTAATGCTACTAGTCAATAGTATGTGTGTGTGTAACATCTGACCTCATAGCAGTTGTGGCCCTCAGGCTCTGGCTCAGTGAACTGCTGAGTGGTGGGCGTAGAGACGGAGGCAGCCTCCGACCACGCCGAGGAGGAGAGCAGCCCATCCAGCCCCATGTGGAGAGTGGCGTACACCACCGAGACATCAGTTTGCTGCTCAAAACACACACACACAACACACGTTAATAGAAAACAGACCATATCTAATGGAAAATGCCCTGTAATTTCTATTCTATATACATAGGAAATTGTTTATTTACCTGGTAGCAGCCATGCGTCACGGCCACAGACGTCTCGTGGCGGAGGTGAGACGCATACTGGGTCACCCTGCCAGCCACATACTGACAGAGAGAAACGACATGTTAAGGCCAAACGGAATAAGTGAAGAAAAGCCTAATCTAATACTAATTCAGTAGTATTTACATCTTACCTGGATCCAAGAGATGGACTGCACCTTGGTGGCACAGTAGGGGATGCCCTCTGGACTAAGTCTGTGTGTCTCCTTGGAGATGGCCCACACCAGTTGAGTCTCCAGGCCTCGAACCCTACTCGCATGGTGCATCCTCACCACCACCTGCTGAGGAGTGAAACAACAAGACAACATCAACAAAACAACATCAGCCATCGCTGTAACATATTTCCATCAAGATCACATGACACTGACGATGTAGATTAGGATTAGGTAGTGACAAAGACACATACCTGGGATCCCCCACGCATGTAGGTGATAATGGGGCTGATGAACTGGAAAGTTCTCCAAGCTTTAGCCACCGGACCGGCATTGTTCTGCACAAGAGGGGGTTGACATTACAATACATTCAGGTTAGAAACAGCAAACATTGCAACAGTGATGTGACTGTGTGTGTGGGTCTCTTACCCTGATCACAACAGGCCCACAGTACAGGGAGCTAAACCTAATCGGTATCAACTGCCAATTACCAGTGGCCTCCTAAAGCAGAAAGCAGACAACAAAGATTTTTAGAATGTCAAAGTGACACAAATTGAATATCTGGGATACTTTTCAAACATTAAACTTTCTGAAAATTGTACCTCAAGGATATTCTGCACATCTGGCACCTCCTCAAGGATGGCTGGCAGCAGTGGTACATCCGGCACATCATCCAATGGCACAACCAACTGGACCTCATCTAGGGCAGTTGATTCTAAAATTAGGAACATTGGAATACAAACAAACAAATGTTAGGATGTAAAACGTATCGAGCTAGCTAGTACTACTAGTTCAAAAGTGCATCTCTTAGCAAAAGTTACTAAAGTCAACGTTAGCTTGCAAGTATGGATTACAGAAATACACATTTCACAAATTACATTTATATTGTTAAATGTGGTCAAATAAGAAGTTTAAACTCAACATACCCTCTTCGAAGTCGATGTCTCTGTCCACCTCCCGACGATTGCGAACCCTGCAAAACGGAAAAAGACAACAAAAACAACCCACAAATGAATTTGAACAACCTGTCGACGCAGTAGACCGCCGACGTCCACGCACTCTCTCCACCAATTTTGAAAGGCACCCAGGCATTTTCCAGTCGATCTTTCAGTCTCAGGTCTCAAAAATCTGTCATGTTTGTTGTTGTTGAACAGCAAACTGAAGTTGTTGTTGTTTTCGAACAGAAAACGTTCAATAGAACGCCGAGATGTTCTTTCGGTTAGA